ACTAAGGTCATTTTCAGGTCAGGTCAAAGATGACGTCACAGGGGTCGAAAAAGTCAAAATGGCGGTGCTAGAAATGGAGAGTTTTTCTCGAATAACTTTCGAATTAGTCAAGATAGGAACAAACTAAGGGCATCATCGTGATCCTCTCGTCAATCCGCATCGAATGATATATATGTTGACCTCGAAAGGTCAAGGTCAAAGATTGACCTCAGGTCACGTGACCTCGAGGTCATCATGTATATCATTCGATGCGTCTTGACGAGCTGAACACAATGAGACCATCCACGCGTCTGTATCTTGTTCCTGTACGGAGTTATTGGCCAAAAACCTTTGGTGACCTTTGTCCTTTGATGACGTCACATGACCTCACAGCTGCCCAACAGCAAAACAGACCTCAAGGTAGTGAAGGTTGATCGTATATGAAGTCATGTATGGTATATGGGGCTATTCTAACCCGTTTTAGTGGTAAAAACAGGGAGTTGATTTTTCCCCCATTGACTTATAATGGGGAGGTCGCGAAACTGACCTGACCTTAGGTCACTGATATCAAAATTCCGAGACATACAAATTGCACATACTGGTACCCTAACTAAAGCCTGAAGAGAAGAAATTGATCGGTCAAAAACTCTAGCTCTGGCGTGATTGCAAACTTTTCTGAGGTAGGGTCACCAAACCGCCTCTGGTGACCTGACCTGAGGTCAGATCAACTCAAAATTTTCAGACATGTTGCGTAGAAGCCTTATAGGAAAAGTCAGAAAATTTGAGCTTCCTAGCTCAACGCGTTTGGGAGAAATAACCAAAAAACCTCAGGGGGGGGCTCCTGAGGCCCCCCCCCCCCGCCAGGAATAGGGTTAAGCGATGTTCCGCTGATCTCGCGTGTCATACAAAACTCCCGTAGCTTCCAGCTATTTAGTAATTCGTTTTACGTAGAAACAGCCCAAACAGTTGTTGCTCAAGTCGGCCTTTCTCCTTACCCTCATCCAGTGCTGAAGCAAAGGTGTGCCGATGTAGAACATTTAAAAACACGTTTTTTTCTCCTGGCTGTACATAAGTTGACGTGTTAGTAACGTGTTTGTGTTTTGTGTTACTGTTGAATTGTTGATGCATGGAAACGTTCAGCAGAGTATATTCTCCCGCGTATATTCAGAGTATACTCAGAGTAAATTGTATCCTTCTTTAACCCTGCTGAGTTTTCTGTCTTTCTAGGATATCATTCGTCTGTTCTGAATACAGTGCATGCTGATTTGCCGATTATATCCATCACCCGTCACCTCACCTTGCCCACCACATTTTGTTGTGTTTGTGCTTGTGTTTGGGTTTAAACTGGGGCTCTCTACAGATGGCTAGTACGAGTCCAGTTAACATGGCAACACATCGGCATACCCATACACAAGACAACACACTTTGCATCCCTACACACACGGACAGACACAGACACATACAGGAATAATAGAGCTGAAACAAACAGGTAATGAGTATTGGTCATCTACCGTCTATGTCCATACACAAGACAACACACTTTGCATACCTACAGACACATACAGGAATAATAAAGCTGAAACAAATAGGCAATGAGTATTGGTCACTGCGTCATCAGCTGGTGATGTGAAGCAGAAACCTCCATCCGTCCTAAGGCTACCAGGGCCGTTATCTGTTCCGTATAGAGACTGACCGCTCCCCTCTCTTGATCGCTGGTCGGCTGATCATTGGTCATCGTAGATCAGTGGTCGCTTTAGATCAGCGGACGCTGTAGATAGTTTATCGGCGGGGTGTTGGCCGGTGGAGGGGGAGGGGGGAGGAGGGGGTGTATGAGTGGCCATCGGTCAGGGTCAGATTTGGGCGTGAGACCGAGACACTACAACAGCGAAGAGAGTTAACCACTAACCATTGACTACTATTAACTAGGGCTAGTCTTGATTTTCACCACATCGGTTGTAGGTATGTGCCAAGTGTTTGTTGGATAGCTTTTCGTATTTTATAGATGGTTCAACTGGGTTTATTGTATTATAATATGCACCATTTTTGTTTCTTTTTCTGTATCGGTGAACAATCAGCGTAGATAGATACCTACTTTATGTAAGCACCTACCTAAACCCGTTTTTCGTTTCATCTTGAGTCCAATCAAGGCGGCGAACTGTTGGTAATGTTTGTTTGGTAACACCCTAAAACCATTATTCGCTGGCGCAGCAGTGTTGATTATTCAACCGTTTACATTCCAATTGTTGGACCTTGGCTCAGTCTGTGCCCTTGACATCATCTTGCAGCCAACTAAGGCTGTAAGGGCGCAAAGTGCACACACTATTGTACACAATGAGCAGAGCACGTGCGTCTTGCACATTGAACACTTGTTTGAGCGGGTGCAAAGACGGAGGTTGCCAGTTGGTGTTTTTGTTCGGAGTGTGAAGGTACATATCGCAGAGGTGTTTACTTTTGACGTCATATGTAAGCAATGCTGCTTTTGCGGCCTGTAGCGGTGTGCCAAGAAGCCTTGGCACAGCATGCTTTAACGTATTGTTTGTTATCTGATTTCGTGGTTAGATGAATCGAGATTCTTTAATTGAATTGTTTTTTTTTGTGATTGAATTTAGTTAGGCTTTCTAGCCATCCCCGTAAGTTAACCCTATTCCTGGCGGGCTCCGCCGGGACAAGAAACTGGCGGGGGGGGGGGCCGATTCGGCCCCCCTGATATCTCGAGAACGAAGCAAGATAGCGACAAGCGGTAAACGGCATCGGATACGCATGGACAAGGTCTACAATTTTTACTAAGGTCATTTTCAGGTCAGGTCAAAGATGACGTCACAGGGGTCGAAAAAGTCAAAATGGCGGCGCTAGATATGGAGAAAGTTTTTCTCGAATAACTTTCGAATTAGTCAAGATAGGAACAAACTAAGGGCATCATCGTGATCCTCTCGTCAATCCGCATCGAATGATATATATGTTGACCTCGAAAGGTCAAGGTCAAAGGTTGACCTCAGGTCACGTGACCTCGAGGTCATCATGTATATCATTCGATGCGTCTTGACGAGCTGAACACAATGAGACCATCCACGCGTCTGTATCTTGTTCCTGTACGGAGTTATTGGCCAAAAACCTTTGGTGACCTTTGATGACGTCACATGACCTCACAGCTGCCCAACAGCAAAACAGACCTCAAGGTAGTGAATGTTGATCGTATATGAAGTCATGTATGGTATATGGGGCCATTCCGACCCGTTTTAGTGGTAAAAACAGGGAGTTGATTTTCCCCCCATTGACTTATAATGGGGAGGTCGCGAAACTGACCTGACCTTAGGTCACCGATATCAAAATTCCGAGATATACAAATTGCACATACTGGTACCCTAACTAAAGCCTGAAGAGAAAAAATTGATCGGTCAAAAACTCTAGCTCTGGCGTGATTGCAAACTTTTCTGAGGTAGGGTCGCCAAACCGCCTCTGGTGACCTGACCTGAGGTCAGATCAACTCAAAATTTTCAGACATGTTGCGTAGAAGCCTTTTAGGAAAAGTCAGAAAATTTGAGCTTCCTAGCTCAACGCGTTTGGGAGAAATAACCAAAAAACCTCAGGGGGGGGGGCTCCTGAGGCCCCCCCCCCGCCAGGAATAGGGTTAAGTGTCTAACTTTTTAAAAGTTCCGTTTGTTTTGAAAGTGAGACAAGTGAGTTGGGGAATCATCTGAACTTGTTTCTACGTTTTCATCCTGTCATGCTTCATTTTTAGAGCTTAGCGTCGAGCTACCTAATTTGTTTGGTCTTATGCTCTGGCTAAAGTAGTTGGACTATGACATGCAGCATAAGTGCTGTTATCAGCAGCTGATTTGATAGCTAAAGCTATGAATGCCGGTTTAGATACAAGTTAGGCACTTGAAATAAATTTTCAACCGCCTCAATATTCTTTTATAATTGATGATAAGGTCTACTCAAGTAGTTATATGTAAAACAATGAAATTTACATTGGCAGCAACGTCTATATTGGTGTTAGTTTTATTTCTATTCGCATAAGTTTTGCGGCCTTTTTTCGTGTAGATGCTTCGCGACCAAATACCTTTTTACGAATTAGTCAATGTCGTAGTTTTTGAACTGTGTGTTTTAGCATTTGTTATCTGCTTGCAACTGCATGTGCGTCCTTTTTCCCGGCGTACGTCTAGTTTTATGCATAAGTGGATTGGATATCTGTCCAGTAGCGATTTGCTCTGCTGTCTGCGCAACGGTCCCGTAATATGGCATGACGCTCTGCTTAGTTACTTTTGGTTAAGGATTTTTGGTTAGAGTTTTGGTTAAGGATTTTACAAAATGTCCATAGAAAAGTCACTTTTATACATAATGTATGTTTCATTTTGGATTTTGTCTATGTATTTATCCAGAGTGACTGACTCATTCAATCTCTTGAAAGCGATGACTCTCATCCTGGATGTGGCTGATTGACTCTGATTGACTCTGATTGACTCAGCCGGATATCTCATACCCTGTTTCTGAGTCTGACTCAGATTTCGACTTGAACTCTGACTCACACAGGAATTTGCTAAATCCCACTTAAACTATCGACTCCTATCCAGAAACTACTTATTTCTTCGTTTGACTCTGTCCTTACTCAGGCAGTTCATTCCTTCGATCTCACGGATATATACGACTATGTAACTCTATTATGGCGCTAAAGCTATCTGACTTTTCATGACCTTCACTGTGGCTCAGGCGGTTGACATGTATGGTCCCACTTAGAGGTTTGACTCACCCTGACTCTGACGCTTATCCTGGTTGTGTCCGATTGACTCTGACTCTGACTCAGGCAACCGACTAGGACGGGCTTGCTAAAACCGATGACTCTTATCCTAATTATAGCCCTGTCTGTCCGTAACTCTGTCTCTGCCTCTGATTGACTCTGACTCTGACAGACTCAGGCGACCTATTCCGACGGACCTGTTGAAACTGTTGGACTCTTATTCCAATTATAACCTTGTATGTTACCCTGCCTCTGCCCCTGATTGACTCTGACTCTGACTCAGGCGGCTGACTCGGACGGACCGACTGAGGCCGTTGACTCGGAGTTGGAGGATGTGGCCAAGACGGTCGGCCAGGGCACCGACTCCACGCCGGAGCTGCTGGAGGGGACGCTGGCAGCCCTGCCTCCCAGGTGGGTGTCGGTGGAGATGCTCTCTCTCTCTCTCTCTCTCTCTCTCTCTCTCTCTCTCTCTCTCTCTCTCTCTCTCTCTCTCTCTCTCTCTCTCTCTCTCTCTCCTCTCTCTCTCTTCTCTCTCTCTTTCTCTCTCTCTTTCTCTCTCTTTCTCTCTCTCTCTCTCTTTCTCTCTCTCTCTCTCTCGCTCTCGCTCTCTCGCTCTCGCTCTCTCTCTCTCTCTCTCTCTCTCTCTCTCTCTCTCTCTCTCTCTCTCTCTCTCTCTCTCTCTCTCTCTCTCTCTCCCGCCTCCCAGGAAGGTGTCGGGGGGGGGGGGGGGCTGCGTGTTTTTTTTTTGCTGTTGAAGTTCAACGAGTTTAAGTGTTGTTACTGTGGATTTTGAATTTAACGTTATTTGTTGTTTGAGTGTAACTCACCGTTTAAATGTAACTCGTAGTCTCATCTGGTTTTTATTCTGTGTTTTCGTGTTGCTCGAGTAACCATAAGTCCATATATCACCCAGAGTTTGAGTGTAATTCGGAGATTTTCTCCGTCAGGTGGCGCAACTGGGTGATCCGCGGCATATTCACCTGGGTTATGATATTCGGGTTCGCCTGGATCATCTACATGGGACCGCTGGCACTGATGTGCATTGTAAGTAAACGTAACACAGTATCATATACATTGGACCAGGGTCCCTCATGTGTATCGTAAGTTAAGGAAAAACAGTATCACAAACATTTGGACCAGAGTCCCTCGTATGTATCGTAAGTACACGTAAAGAAGTATCATATAGATTGGACCAGGGACCCTCGTGTGTATCGTAAATAAACGTAATACAGTTTCATATGCATTGGACCAGGGTCCCTAATGTGTAGGTACATGGGACCAGGGGCACTTATGTGTGTTGTAAGTGATGACGTAACGATATCGTAAGTTGACCTAATTTCTGTGAATAGTTGTGTGATTATTCTTCTATCTAAATAATAATACGTAAATAGTTTATTGCTTTTATTTAGACGGCGTCTCCTTTTTAACCTACAAGGCTTGGCGTTCAACCCAGAAGCCGACACATTCGAATCTTGCTCTTACTCTTGACATCGGTTTCATCTGAGACTGACTCTCATTCCCTCTCGCTCACAAACTCACTCGACATGGGTGTCGATTTCCGCCGGGCTTGGGGTGCCCGAGCTCTCCAAATTCCCCGCCGGCTCGGCCGGCTTGGCCTTGGAGCCCCAGCAGGCGGCGTGGGTCAAGGTCACCACCGCTAGGGCGGCGGCGGATTTGCTACGCCCGGGCACCCCCAACTCGGTAGAAATCGACATCCATGTAACTCTTGCTGACTCTAACGACTCTTGCTGATCTCTCTCGCTCACAAACTGACTCTCTCTCTCTCTCTCTCTCTCTCTCTCTCTCTCTCTCTCTCTCTCTCTCTCTCTCTCTCTCTCTCTCTCTCTCTCTCTCTCCCACAGACTCTGGCGGTGCAGGTGAAGTGTTTCTCGGAGATCATAAACATCGGTTATGCCGTGTACCGCATCCACGGACTGCCGTGGTTCCGATCGCTCAGCTGGTGGTTCCTGCTCTGTTCCAACTACTTTTTCTACGGAGAGAGCCTGGTGGACTACTTTATAGTGCTGGTTAATAAACTGGTGAGTGACGGGGGGGGGATATTGTTTGTGTATGTGGGGGGGGGGTGGAGAGGAGGGTTGATTGCTTATTGTGACTAGGGATGCTGGAGTGTCTGTGTTGGAGGGTTGATTTCATGTATTGGTGCGTTTTTAGGCTTGGTGGATCGTTTTAAAATGCGGGTCAACAAACTAGTGGGTGAGAAGTGTGTATGTGGGTGGGGAGGGGGGATGATTTTTGATAGTGACTGACAGATTCTGAGGCTGTGGTGGTGGATAGTAGAGGGCCTGATGAAAATAAGGAAAGTTAGGGATAGTTGAGGGTCATCGGCCAGGTGTATCAGGAGGCATTGGTCAGGGATGAAAAGTTGTTTAGGAATTGGGGAGAGATGTGACTTGATAAGGCCATCAATTTGTTAGGTATGTGTATCTGATGCGACAACATGTGTGCATCTGATTGGATAAAAGGCTATATTTTGACACGGCATCTTTTTTTACTACGTTTTCTCTTTGTATTGGTATAAATAATTCACTTTTGACACTTTGAGTTTCAGTTTCAATATTATATATTGGGCTTGGAGCCACGAGATCGAAATTTTTACGATATCATTCACATATCGTGTGTGTATGGCCGTACTGCTAAAAACTCGTTTCTGGTTGGGATAATGGGATAATGCTCATTCCCGGTCAAATTTATCTCACCTCCCACACCCCCACTCTCACTTTCTCTCCCCCATTTTCCCCCAGGAATTTCTGCGAGTGCTCGTGACGTACCACCGTATGATCTCCTTCCTGCTGTACATCGTCGGCTTCGTCTGGTTCGTGCTCTCCCTGGTGAAGAAGTACTACATGAAGCAGTTCTCACTGTTCGCGTGGACCCACGTGGCGCTGCTGATTGTGGTGACACAGAGCTACCTGATAATTCAGAATATCTTCGAGGGCATGATCTGGTGAGTTATACAAAATATCTTCGAGGGCATGATCTGGTGAGTTATACAAAATATCTTCGAGGGCATGATCTGGTGAGTTATACAAAATATCTTCGAGGGCATGATCTGGTCAGTGTACTGTGAGAGGCAGAGCCCAAGCAGAGCCTAAGCGTAAAGTAAACCTTTGTTTTGTTACTTTGTCTCTTTTTGCCATCACAAGGCTATTCTTTTTAGTTAAATTAGTTGTAATTTATTTCATGATGCAAAAAATATGTTTGATGTAGATAAACTTGATAAAGACTTGTTACGAATCATTATGTGCCCCATGAAATTGTTGCCTGCTTTTTATATCCATATTCTGTTATAAATATCGTTACCCCCATCATACATTTTCAGTTTGTAACTTTTTTGCGTCAATCAACCCGCTTCCCCAGTCCAGATTCGAACCCGCCACCTCGCGCTCCACTGTAGCCCCGCCTGACTCCCTCGTCTACCACAGGTTCATCGTACCAGTCTCTATGATCATCATCAATGACGTCATGGCTTACATGTTTGGCTTCTTCTTCGGAAGGACGCCCCTCATCAAGCTATCGCCTAAGAAGACATGGGAGGGCTACCTTGGTGGAGGCTTTGCCACCGTGCTCATGGGACTACTGGTAAGGATCAACGAGGAGCGAGTTTGTTTGTGGCAAAACTCATTTCACTCGATGGTAACGATTATTTCCACAAGATAACCTAACACGCCAATATATTGTGCCAGTATTTATGACCTCAACATAAAATGAGGTCATGTTACTGCTACTAAACATCCTATTGTATTGCCATAGTGACGTATTTTTCCTATGCTATTCCAACAGTCCCCCTACTTCACTAACTGCCGCAATGACGTCATATTTCTGTTCTGTTTCAGCTCTCTCAGCAGCTGGCGCGGTCCCCCTACTTCACCTAAGTGCCATAATGACGTCATATTTCTGTTCTGTTCCAGCTCTCGCAGCAGCTGGCGCGGTACCCGTACTTCACCTGTCCTCTGGAGTACAGCGAATCCATGGACGGAGTTAGCTACCAGTGTGACCTACCGCCTCAGTTCCTACCGCAGGAGTACGCCCTGCCAGGCTGTCTGGCAACCCTCTGTAAACTGGTGAGTGGTCTGGCAACCTTCTGTACACTGGTGTGCCGTGGCGGATGGCTATTGACATATCATCCACCTATAAAGACTAGTTGTGACATCCTTTGTACATTCCCCTTTGCAGCCGACATGCTACACAAAACACAGTCGGTAGGCACTAAAAATGTTTTGCGTTAATATTTCATTCGTTTTATTTGCTTCTTTTCTTACAACTTTACCTGATTACGGACTGTGATAAGTCTGTCTGTGATAAGCAACAACGACGTCAGTCAATTACGTCCTCCCTCCTCTCTCTCTCTCTCTCTCTCTCTCTCTCTCTCTCTCTCTCTCTCTCTCTCTCTCTCTCTCTCTCTCTCTCTCTCTCTCTCTCCCTCTCCCTCTCCCTCTCCCTCTCCCTCTCCCTCTCCCTCTCTCTCTCTCTCTCTCTCGCTTTCTCTCGCTCTCTCTCCCTCTCCCTCTCCCTCTCCCTCTCCCTCCCCCTCTCCCTCCCTCCGTCCCTCCCTCCCTCCCTTTCTCACCTCACACAACTCTCTCTCCCCCACAGTTCGGCGCGTCTCCCACTCTGCGTTTCTCGCCGTTCCTGATCCACGCCTTTGTGATGGGTCTGTTCAGCTCCATCATAGGACCGTTCGGAGGATTCTTCGCCAGCGGCTTCAAACGCGCCTTCAAAATCAAGGTGAGCTTGAGGCTAGCTCACGAGCTTTCGTTCGTGAGGGATTGGGTTTGGTGTGGCAGTAATTCTGGATAGAGACTAGAGACGGATACTGAGAAGGTGGAAGGTGTAATTATTATTATTATTATTGTTTATTCAGCATCGTCATGCGACAAAAAGATACATACCCCCCCCCCCCACCCACACACACAGTTAATCAGCACTCAGGAGGTTAGTAGTCTTAACAGGCGCCGCGAGGCCTGACAGTTGCTTGCCAAAACCATCTTCAAACTGTCTATAAGACCGCTTTCTTGGAGTGGTGCCCGGACTATGTCGTGATCGACGTACCCAGCAGCGATGTGCATGATAGCGCCGAAATTCCCACCACACAGATTATATACGTGGCCAATAAACGACCCATCCAACTGCTCGGGGTACGTAGCAAGTCTGGCCAGTCCAGTGACGTAGGCTTGGCGAAGACGGTGGTCAGCGCGGAAAGCATTACGGAATGCGCGAAGGGCATCACCTCGCAGCACCTCAACGATGCGAGGCACCCCAGTAGCAATCAAAAGAGCCGTATGGTGCGCAGAACGCGGCAGACCCAGCGCTGCCTTGATCAGCGAAGCCTGTCGCGAGTCTAGACGCTCAATGTCGGCGGAACTGAGGGTAGCCGTCTCACAGCCGAAGATCAGTGCCGGCAGCACTACTGTCTTCCAGAGGAAGATTTTGTCAGCAGCAGTCAGGCGGTTGGTGAAATTGCCCAGGGGTGTGAGGCCATAGAATGATGCACAAGCACGCCTGATGCGCTGAGCCACGTGGCTGTCTGTGCTGAGGTTGTCATCAAGCACCGTACCGAGGTGCTCGGTCGTCTGCCGGATCTGCAGCTGCTGTCCTGACAGTGTCCACCTCGGTGTGCTCGTGAATAGTTCCTGTCCAAATAATATGGATGATAGCTTTCGAATGTTTCGGAAAATTCTGACTGATGATTGTTTGCGGTATTGGGTTGATATGATGATGGCATGATGATATGTCTGATGTCTCCTCATTTAGGGTCCTACAGGGTGTTTCACTAAAAGTGTCAAAAAGTAAATGCCTATTAAAGATATATAGAATATGCCAATCACGTGGCTGTGCACGTGGCTTTGTTGCAAATTTTTGGACATTTATTATTTATCCATTTAAGATATATTTTACACTCATGCGGAGCGAGGGCAGGAGGCCAAAGTTACTAGTCATTTTTTCCTTATGCAGAACAAGAACAGGTTATTTACACCGCAACAGGAGGGATGAATTACACTTATGTACATTTGGCGCCATCAGAAACATTGAAACCGTATGCCGACTTTTCAGGAAACTTTTTACTCTCTCACCTCGCTACGGTCCAGATTATAAAAGTTTCAAAGGGCTTGTTGAGAGGTTTAAAAGGGTTCCTTCGATGCCGATTCCAGTCCAAAAAAGGCGGGGTTGCCCCCACCTCTCGGCGGAAACCGTTGAGAAGGTCAGGGTCTTTTTGAGGGCCTTTGAAGATAACAAAAAGCTAATTCCAACATCAGAAATAGCCAGGGCCTTACAAGTTATCAAAATCAACCACTGTAACGGCTGTAGCCACCAGGAACTGACTGGACCAGAAGCTCCTGGGCCGAATAATCAGCTGCCTCGCCGCCCGCCCCTGGCCAGCGCGAAGCCCCGATCTGTCACCGCTAAGCCTCTGGTTTGGTCAGTGACTCAGTAGCCCTCGCAGAGCTGAGGAAAACTCAAGTCGCATCACTTCGGGAGCTGAAGAGCACAATTCAAGGCTTTGCCGACAGTCTGGACGCTGAAGATGAAAACGGGCTGTGAGTCACCTCCGGACACGTGCCGAAACGGTGCATCAAAAGAAGGGGCAGATGTGTGGAATAGGTTTGAGTGACGGGGATATCGTTTTTATATATTCAAATGTCCAACAATTGCGGATGAAATGATATGCAAATTTCCTTAGAAAACATTGTTATTATGTGCATTATGACCTTTTACTTTTTGACACTTTTAGTGAAACACCCTGTATATACCTCAAACTCTTGTTGTGCTCTTTACTCTACTGTCCTCTCAGGGTTGCAACGATCTTACCTCTCATTCCCCTTCCACTTTAACTCTTCTAACCTCGCCTCTAACCCCCTCGACAGGGTTATGACTTGCTGATCCCTCTTTCCCCTCCAACCGTTCAACTGCCATTCCAACCCTCGGGTTTTCGTTCACCTTGCCCTTCACTCACCCCTGGCTTAGCGCCCACAACCTCTAACCGTCCCCTCTCTAACGCCGTTTCAGGATTTCGGTGACCTGATTCCCGGCCACGGGGGCATCATGGACAGGTTTGATTGTCAATTCCTGATGGCCACATTCGTCAACGTCTATATCTCGACCTTTGTCAAGTCGCCGTCACCGCATAAAATACTGCAGCAGGTGGGTTGGAGTCGGGAGTGGAGCGGGCTTTTTAATAGCATGATGGGCCATCTTACGCTGGATAATACATATACAAGTAATCCGCCCACATTTTATGAATAAAAAGTATGTTTACGACGCCTTTGATTAATCAAAATGTTTACAAGGGTTATATTTATACTGCACTTACATATGTTGTTTAATTGTTGTTTTCTAATGGGCTGAGAAGTGTCTCCGTCATTGGTTTTGCAGCTCTGTTGTCTCACGTATTTCCGTCTGTTACCGATGGCTAGGACTAACAGCTATACCGTCTCTCCCTCCACAGGTATATACACTGAAACCGGAGCAGCAGCTGCAACTGTTCACCATACTGCGTGATCAGCTGACTGCCCGCGGCGTGCTCGGCTGATCTGGTAACACTCATCTGGCAACACTGAATGAGACTGGTGACGTCATCGAGCTACTAGGCTGGCAACATCTGGTAACGGAAAATAACGAGGCTGGTCATGACTCGAGCGAGCAGATACAGAAGCAATACTAGCTCCAAAATCTACCAATTATTCCAATATTACAGGCAACTTGGAGATGGAATCCTGGCACTACGACTGACGTAGTATATAGTTTCCGTTTGTCGGCATTCAGGTTTGTTTTCTAGCACGCTGGATGTGGCATTTTTATGTCCGTCATCTCGGCTGATTTGCTCACATAATTCGTTCATCCATAAGCGAGAATGATTTAGCTTGTCGTCAGGACATCTTTTAGTTTATTCGTCAGTAGGCTGTCTGAATCCGTTGGCATTGCTCTTGATATGTAATGTGGGCGTTCTCAAATGTTTGGTTTGTGTATGCTGCCAGTAAATGTGTCTTATGTCCTGTCAGAGTCTGTCATATGTGACAGTTTAGTGTCTTACTGTCAGGTGACAGTAAAGTTGTGTTTTATTTGTGTCTAGCCTGAAACAGAATGTCAGTCTGTCCTCAAATAGGATGAGGCTTTTCTGTGTTTGGTTCAGTCATGTGTTCAACTTTGTACTCGTGTTTATGTTGTATTCTTGGTCAGTTGTCAGCTGTCACAGTAAGGCTTGTCAGATAGGAATGTCAGTTTGTCAGGTCTCTCTGTCACTGACATACTTGTGTGTCAGTCAAAAATCAGACAATGGTTAGGCCGTCTGACTTGCTTGTCCAGTTGGGGCATTCCACGATAGATCGTACCAGGCCCGTCACCCTCATCTCTCAGATTTTAATGAAAATCGGTCCTAGGGGTAATCATAGGCCCCAAAGACGCCTGGCAAAATATCAGACTTCTCAGATCAAAACTTTTTGAGTTATATTGCATTACATTTTTTTAACTTCGGTATGTAACGGTGAGTTTGATGGCCTATAACTCAAGAACGGGTTAAGCAACCAACAAAAAGTAAACGACACTAAGCTTGCAATGAATCAAAAATTAATATTACTATTCAAAAATTCCAAAGAAAAAATTTCATTGTTGAGCAAAAACCTTAATCTTTTTTCATTTGCCTCTAATGACTTTTGGGACCAAAATTTTTCACATTTTTATTTTTTCAAAATAATTTTCATGTCATTGCAAATCGACATGCAAAAAATTAGAAAGGTGTTCTTTCTATAAGTTCCTCATTTTCCCGCAAACAAAATGGGTTTCGGAGGGGTTTATACGACCCCAGCACGCCGTTTCGCTTCTAATAGAGCTAGAGCCTCGCGGAAAAAACGAGCGTGTGTGCCGTTACAAGTCGCAGCGATTGGTACCCGATTTTAAGGTCTCAGGTTAAGTGGTAGCGTCTGAGGTCAGGTCACGTGACTGAAGTTACGGGTTCGGTTTTTAGTAAATAACTTCGCAAAAAATGGCCGCAGAGCCGCGATTTTGGCATCATTGTGTTCGCCTAGCTCAGGTGCATCGAATGGTATACTTTTTGCTAGGGTGAGGTCAATTTAAGTAGTTGACCTCGGGTCAAGGTCAGGTCAGAGCCCCTCAGGTCACGAAGCTGGGCAAAGGGTATCATATGGCATATCATTCGATTCGGAAGGTCTTCCCGAGTCCATTGGTGGCTTTCCCGACTCTCTAGCTCCATTTGATCGGGAGTTATTGACCAAAAACTCGTACGACCCTTATGACGTCATAAATGACGTCACGCAAGGTTAACAATGCAAAAGTAAAGCATTGGACTTTGCAAGGAGTGCATGAAATCACGATACCATGTACGTGGGATAGTTTTAGATCATTCTCGGCGCCAAAATAACAGTTTTTACATTTCCCCATTGATTTATAACAGTGATGTCACGTGACCGACCTGACCTCATGTAACCTTGAAAAAATCCCAGATATACAAGTTGTGAGACCTCTGGAGGACACCATGTATGCGTCCTGTACCTTTCATCTCGGACAGCTATGGTCATTGGCGTCCAAAACAATGTCAGAACCAAGCAGCCTTTTTCACCCTCGCGCTTATAGGAAAGAGGGTTGAATGAACCTTCTTTTCACTTTTTCAGATGACTCAGACTTGAATTGAAATTTCAGCAATCCGTGATGTCACTAGGCAGCTTTACCACGCCATTTGTAAGCTCCCCTCCCGAAATCACTATTCGAAACCGTTATCGTGACGTAAAATAAATACATTTATAGAAAGAACACCTTCCTAATTTTTTGCATACTTCTTAACAATGAGCCAAATATTTTTTTAAAGAAATAAAAATTCAAAAAAATTTGGTCCCAAAGTCCAAAAAATACAAATGAAAGAAAACTCGATATGTCATATATCAAAAATAGCGCATTTTTCGAAATTTCAAAAATACATATTAATCTCTGTTTCATTGCAAGTTCAATGTTATATAACATTTGGCATTTGAATAATCCGTCTTAGAGTTACAGCCCGCCAAACTTAGCGCTGCAAAGCAAGATCCAAAAAATGTTATACACCATAACTCAAAAAATACTTATCTGATAAGCCTGAAATTGTTACAGGAGGATTCAGAGCCCCTGATTACCCCTGAGACCAATTCTCGTCAAATTCCGAGAGATGAGGGTGTCAAATTGGAAAAAGGTGGTACGATCTATCGTGGAATGCCCCAGTTGTGAATTGTCTATGTCCAATGTCCGATTTATGGCTAGCTATACCCCTGTCCGACTTCCGTTGTGTCTAAAATAGACACTTGCGAGGTCGACAGAGTTCTAGTCGTTACGAGCCCTCCTGTTAGGGAGAAGGGCTCTAATTGACGCCGGTTAATGTCAGGAAAGGTACATAATTGTGGCTGGATTCTACCGAGGACGATGTTAGGTGTTGGTTGGTTGTTTAAGGTTGTGGTTGCGTAGTCAGGACTGTATTTTTGACAACTGCAATGGTCTTCGCCGAGACTTACATAGGTTTGTGTTGAACAGGGTTACATCGGGTCAGTGGTGGCATCTGTCGTTGGGCTTCAGAACTAATCGGTGTTAGTGGCGACACCTATAAAGCTGGGTGGAATAGGTGTCGCTGGCGGAGTTGGGTCAGGTACTCAGTGGCGGCATCTCCCGGCAGAATATGTAAGCCGAGCTTCGTGCGAGCGCCGTACGAAATGCGGCACTGGCGTTTCCGTAGTAGTTTCAGTGTGCGCTCTCCGCCAGGGAGCGCGCCGTGTTCTAGAATAGCTGTGTGTGTTGCTTGCTGTTTTCGCTGTCATTGTGATGTCAGCGAATATTAGTCTGTTAGTTAAGTGGTTATACGAACAAGCAATGCAATATTTTAGCCCGTAACTTCTTGGAGTTAGGCGTATACACTGCCTGCTTTTGCTTGCGCCACGGTAAAGGCGTGGTCAACGGATTGAGATTCGTTTTTTCCATTTGTTCCTCGAGTCGACCTCCCAAGGGTTCGCTAAACCACCTGGGGGGCTCCCGAGGATCAGGAAGGTCATGACAAACCGTTCGCGAGGCAAGCCATGCCTTTTGCGAGCTAGATCTCTGTTTGAGCGTTCCTCCGGCTGGCGGACGATACTGCAAGCTCTAGTTTGTGACTCTCTCGCTAGATGGCTCTGCCAGCGCGGTCTGTGTGGTGGCTGCAAAGTGTGCGTTTTCTGTGTTGTTTGGAGACTGGTTTGGTTTTAGATAGCTTCGTCGATTGTTTGAAGTCGCGAAAAGCTATATATGACTTGCACGTATAGTCTACTCAAGGCAGTGTTAAGGCAATGTTAACTGTTAACTGTAAGGAGTTTGCGCTTTTATCCAGGGCTAAGAGCACCAGTGTGCATTTGAGTCGAAGTAAAATCGATACACTGTGGTGAAAACGCGTGCCAAAAGTTCACGCAAACTTTCGGGAAGGAAAATGGGCGGGAAAGTGGTCCGGGCATGTCATGATACTCTGTGGCTGTCAATATATGATGTATACCGTACAACAGTTTCTATTTTTCACCTAGAGCAATCAACCGTTTCACTCAAGCAATCTCCAAGCTACCAATTAGCGTATGTGTTTTTTCCTGATTAACTAATAACCGATGGAGAAAGATGGGTAGTGGGTACAACATGTAAGGGCTCCGTACCTAAAATTCGCAGCTTTACCCCGGGCGACCAATCACGTGCCGCTATAGGTCACGTGTCGTGACCTCGTGACACGTGACTTCGCCCCGGCTGGGAGCTGAGTGGTGTTTCACCGGTGATGGCAGCACGCTGCTATTCCAGTGTCAAATTGGGTTCCCATGGAGACATCAATAAGCCTATTCCTCCAACACTACCACAAGTGTGACGTCAGCTCGCGAGATGGAATAGCAGCGTGATAGCAGCGTCCCGTGAAACACCCCCTGGTCGATCGTCAGCATCCAAACAAGCTCCGTTCTGACCGCGATGGAGGAATGTATGTGTCTCTGTGATGTGAATTCGTGATTTCCTACTAGGTATTAGTCGAATGAGCTCTCGGCAACGGGGTTTAGGGCCCGAACATATGTTCATACAAAATACGCGTTGTGTCAGCAAGTGTGTACGAAATGGGAAGAATTCGGCATGCAGTATTGGTGTAAAGATCAGGATTCCAGAAAACAATGCTAAAGGATGTACAGGGTGTCTCAAAAGTTCGTTCACAGGTACCAGCCATGCTTTTTTGTCAATAATTCTGAAGCAACAAGAAATTAACAGTCAAAATTTTGCATGGGCATTGGTGACAACCTTCCTCAAGCAGTCTCATTGTTTTCAAGTGCATTCGACCCTTCATGGGCTCACAAAAAGGGTTCACCTCTGACCATGGGTCAGGCACGAAAATGTAGGTTGCAAAGTCGGGTATGTTGTGAAACTCTCTGTTTCAGGAGTAATGGGAATGGTTAAGTCGGAAATGACACATGGCTAAGTGTCGGCGAGGATGAGTGCAACATGATGATCATCTCATAAAAACGGTGGCTAAAATTTTTGAAGGACGAAACCATGCGAGACTAACGGCGTTTTGAACGACCCTCGCACGACAGCAGACTCGTGTTCCGGAAAGCAGCTGAAAATGCGGTCATAACTATTGAAAACTGGCAAGAAGGTCACAGACAGAGGTTACCCATTTTCAAAAAGTGCAGGTCATCGTAAAATAAAGACAAATTATAATTTAAAATTGTTTATAATATCTATAACGCTAATTTTGGGGGACAATAACACAAAAATTGTCAATGCCAAGGACACCTGACCCTCCAAAAGTGTCAGTTATTGTAAAATTTTATCTAACGAAGTTTCAAGAGGCAGATCTGCAGCGAATAATTTTCTTTTAAACACAAAATCCCGATAAAACCACACGATGGACAGGTTTGGGCCGTTTACAAAGCAGAACATCTCCCGAGGAAAACATTCCGCAACCGAGCGAAGGTCTTGGCATGGGGAATGACGAGCGCTTGGAATTTGCAAAATTGCACAATGTGTCTCAGAAACAGACGTCCGACACATTCTGCTACCATATGATGCGAAAAATTTACTCCTGGCACTTCCCGTTTGTTCAGGACTGGGGTCGTTTTGAAAAGGAAAATGGCGCTTGGGATGTCGGCGCCAGTCATTCATGAAGAAGTTAGCGCCAGAGAATGCCTACAAAATACTCAAGAATGGTGTCGATGCAAGCTGTCGGCTTTCAGGGAAAATCAGATGTTGCCGGGGAGCTAGTCAAAACTAAATCCGACGCAGAAACTGCAGGGGATTCCCCTGCAAGAGCTTGAAAGCTGGTAACCTTTTATCAGCCTCCGGCAGCTGACGGAGCAACAAAAATCGGTATGGGCAAATATTTTTGGAGATACAGCAAAGGCGTTGGTTTCTTACCTTCTTAATCAGTTGTCAAAGCATGCATATTTGTCTAGTGTACACACAGACACCAAAACCTTATACTTTTGGCTGGTTCTTATATGCTTTATTGGCATGGGAAATGTGTGAACGAACTTTTGAGACACCCTGTACAGCCCACAGCCTAAGTAATGGGTCTGCCAATCCCAGCAGATGACTTTGACTGACGATTTTTAAATACGGAATGTGGATTCATTAACAAGCATTTTATCCAAGCTATCGATTTAAAACTTCCCATGCGTTATTGATCTGGAGGGCCCGATTTCTAACACTGTTTTGAATTGATGGAATGAAAGAAGCCTATACAAACGATCAGTTTATTAGGTTCGATGCGTAGCGATGAGGTGTTCTATTTGCGCACGTAATACGTTAGTACGCGAGTCATCGAAACTCGCATACCATAGGTATCATGTTAGTCACAAAACCACATCAATTTGGAAACATTTCACGCAAACCGCAATCATACATATTACATATACGATGTTCATCGTAGACACTTGTGTTGTTAGTATGAATCACGATTTTCAATGGATCAAAACGTAGCTGAACAGTAAGCATAGACGCAAATCTAGATTCTAGAGCGTAATAAAAAGTTGGACACCTCGCATTGGCATGCATCTACGTATGGTCATTGACTACGCTAGCTACGTCATGACGCAAATGCTCACAAATGCTGTGCTTCTATGCTCTTGGTTCGATTAGAATTAGCTTGACATAAGCGGGTTCTCTGGTGCATTCGATTGTCATTGTTTTGACTCAATCGACACATACTGAAAATGATTGCTAGAGTAATTGGTTATACAGTCTTATCCAATTCTTCAGACACCAAAGTATGAACTCACATTTCCCGAGGTTTACAGAATATGGATGCATTGCCTGATGTTTGGCCGTGTTAACGAAGGCTCAGCTGTACCATTCAGATATCGAGAGATAAAAAAGGACTGATAATTGGTCGAACAAATACCACAAGCAAGCAATTACGCTTCAAACATGTATCCTGGAAACATACTGCAGCCGTTCACGCATTCCCACTGCTTACCTAAACGTTAAGTAGCAATGCATACATCTTACAGCTAGTAGGTACCGATAAATACAGAACACACACTAGAAAACATGGCTTAGTTCATTCACCACAAAAAAAACACTCACTTCTCTTTCAATTCAAATGCCAACTTACATTTGGCATCAAATTTTCTCATCAAGCCTCGCTTTCAGCACTAGCGCCGCCACGCGGAGACACCCGACAGTTCGAGTTCCTTTTTCTGCCGCGAGATGTCTCTAGCGCGGCGGACTGGGGCCGTCACAACTCTGTGGTTTCGACATGTTTTCCTCGGGGCATGAGGCGGTCACTCTGACTGAGGATGTTTTGCTGATATCGGCCGAGATCGTTGGTGGTTTTGTGACTCTGGTCGGGAGTGTTGTAGTTCACCGAAGATCGCGCCGAGGACCTGGGGAAGACAAGAGGTTGGAAAAGTCAAGGATTTAGGAAATTAGAACAGGGTATCATTTGGCCACTCCTTTTCGGCTAGAACATGAAAACGTGAAGCTATGAAAATCAGCGTTGCGATAGGACAATGTCCTGGCATAAAAAACTCATCGTTTTTAATGTTGCAACTTTCGAATTCCACGTCTCACAGAGCGACAAAGAGGAAATATCAGCACCTATCTATTCCACAGTTGACGGGGAAAAAACATCAACGGCGTTGAAAAGTCTTGGACCGTACGGATCTTTACTTTTGCACGGATAGGTATTCGTCAGTTGAACAATAAAACAAACCCGGTCACATGTGACAAGCCAATGAAAACCCTCTCTCTCCCCTAACGTTTCTGCTGTCCGCGTACATACCTATAGTATTTTACGCACATTTTCTCCCCTTTTTCTCTCCTTACCTGCTGCTCTGTTGTTGGGCGAACAGCTCCTGTTGCTGCTGTACAGACAGTGTCAGGCTGTCGGGCGTTCTTACCTGCTGCTCTGTTGTTGGGCGAACAGCTCAGAGGGCGTTCTTACCTGCTGCTCTGTTCGTTGTTGGGCAAACAGCTCAGAGGGCGCTCTTATCTGCTGCTCTGTTGTTGGGCAAACAGCTCAGAGGGCGTTCTTACCTCTGCTCTGTTAGGCGAACAGCTCAGAGGGCGTTCCTACGTGCTGCTCTGTTGTCGGGCAAACAGCGCAGAGGGCGTTCTTACCTGCTGCTCTGTTGTTGGGCAAACAGCTCAGAGGGCGTTCTTACCTGCTGCTCTGTTGTTGGGCGAACAGCTCCTGTTGCTGCTGTACAGACAGTGTCAGGCTGTCGGTGAGGGCGTTCTTACCTGCTGCTCTGTTGTCGGGCGAACAGCTCATGCTGCTGCTGTACAGACAGTGTCAGGCTGTCGGTGAGGGCGTTCTTACCTGCTGCTCTGTTGTTGGGCAAACAGCTCCTGCTGCTGCTGTACAGACAGTGTCAGGCTGTCGGTGAGGGCGTCCTTACCTGCTGCTCTGTTGTTGGGCAAACAGCTCCTGTTGCTGCTGTACAGACAGTGTCAGGCTGTCGGTGAGGGCGTTCTTACCTGCTGCTCTGTTGTTGGGCAAACAGCCATAGGGCGTTCTTACCTGCTGCTCTGTTGTTGGGCAAACAGCTCCTGTTGCTGCTGTACAGACAGTGTCAGGCTGTCGGTGAGGGCGTTCTTACCTGCTGCTCTGTTGTTGGGCAAACAGCTCCTGCTGCTGCTGTACGGACAGTGTCAGGCTGTCGGTGAGGACGTTCTTACCTGCTGCTCTGTTGTTGGGCAAACAGCTCCTGCTGCTGCTGTACAGACAGTGTCAGGCTGTCGGTGAGGGCGTTCTTACCTGCTGCTCTGTTGTTGGGCGAACAGCTCCTGTTGCTGCTGTACAGACAGTGTCAGACTGTCGGTGAGGGCGTTCTCGTCCAGACTGTCGCCCTCGACATAGAGACGGCTGAAATGGGTCCAGAGAAATCAGATATTGAAAGCAGAGGTAATCATAGAAGTTAGAACGACGGAAAATTTGTAATGGATCAGTCGAATTTGAAATGTGTGTAAAAGATCATTTTAATGTGCGCGATGAGTTGCGGAAATAGCAGCTCAGCACTCAGCAGCTCATTTACTAAAGAAAATCAGGTAAAATATGATATCTACTATCTAGTCTTCACATCTACGGTTTTTATTGCTTATATTTAATACGTCACCTTTTTATCTAATAGCTTCGAATGCTTTTTTCATGACCTCCATTCTTCCTTTCTAACAACAGTTTTCCTACTTTAATAATGCTTTCCGCACTTGATTAACAATAACATAACATACCATACCATGGACGACTGAAATACGATAGCTCAAAACACGACTATTCCCAACGCTGTGTCTCCCAGCTCGGTTGCCATGGTAATTACCTGCTGCTCGGCTGTCCATCGGGCGAGTCCAGCTTATAACACGTGTTGTCGAACGCGCCCATCCAGACCGGGTTACTTCCCTCCACTGCGTGCACGTTGGTGTTGGGCACTGCTGATATACGGCTGACTGTGGCTGAAGGGGAACCTGTGAGGGAAAGGGGAGGTCAGGTCAGGGACATTATAGGTTATGGTCAGAGTAAGTTAAATTCAGGGTCACCTTATCGTCAGTGGCAGACTAAGCTTCCTCAGTGTTCTAAATGAAACGTTCACCAATCGGCACAATCACCTAACCTTGCCGACCGCCTCTTTCCTCGATTCATCTACCTCGATTCATCATCTAGCCAAACGCCACAGGCGTGGCTGTCCGCACGGACACCAACATTTGACACCGGTCACACCCACCTAACTCAGCACCACTCCTCCAAGTTCACATCACCTCAAAGTCAACACCCATCCTTACAATCCCACTACAAGTCAGTAGCTAGTAGCTATACCATACTTCCCCTTACCCCCATACCTATCCACACCTCATCCCACACCTTACCCCCAACCTTTTACCCTCCACACTACAGATGTCAGTCGGATACCAACTTTTTGGTATACCGATACCAAACCGATACCAACTTGGTATAAGGTATTTCAATCCTAATGTTTTTTTTTTGTATTTTGTTGGTATAAGATTCCTCGCGTATGTATAAGAGGCCGCAAATTTGGTAAAAAGTTGGTATTTTCCTCACATTCCCTAGCTGGTTCGCTTTAGGTATTTTCCCTAGTTTTGGTTGGTATTTGGTTTGATATCGATCTTCTGTAATTGACAGCACTACTCCACACTTACCAAAAGCGGTGGCCGTGGCGGCCCTCAGCTGCCTCCTGTATTTGGCCCGCTGACTGAGACACGCCCCCAGCACTGTAGCCAACAGAACCAGCAGGAAACAGCACGCCCCCAACAGCCAGCTCAGCGCGGCCCGCGCCGGCTCGACCCGCGCCGCCGTGGCGGCAGCCGCGCGGGTCGAGAGCACGTTGAATTCCTGCGGTGAAACACGAGGTTAGCTTCGATTGGGAATGACACGGGATGAAAGGAAGTGAAATTCGTGTGGGAGGGGTAAAAACGGTGTGGTAGCAGGTATGACTTCTGGTTAGACTTTGTAAGAAGTTCGGAAAGGGCAGATGTGGAGTTGAACTCGCGTGAGAGGGAAAGAACAAGGGGAAAAGGGTTTAACTGTTATAGGAAGGACTAAAATACGGGATGAAAGGACGCTGTAAACTGCAAGAGCATGACAGTGAGACGGGATACACACATGATGTAAATTTAGGTACGCATCAGAGTACTGCTATTCAGATAAATTCAGCGGCAACATTTACGTCCTCATAAGAGAACATCACTGTTAACCTTCAAAGCAAAGAAAATCGTACTCCTTCTCATGCCTGAGATCCCAGCACAAGTCATTTACCTCTGCTAAACCCCCTTAACCTCATAAACCCCCAAGTATGACTCATAAAGTATGACGTCACTCACCTTAAACAGCGGATCGAGCGTCTCAATATTCTGATCCAGCAGCGCCAGCACTCTGTCCACATCCAGAATACTATGATCCCTCCGGTCCACAAAATGGAGATAGAGGTCGGTTTTCGTTCGGTCCACGGCTCCGGAGGAAGTCTCGTGGACCTTAAACTCGTCGACATTGACGATAGAGGCGGAGACGTTACCCAGGTAGCTGTGGGATAGAGAGAGAGAGAGAGAGAGAGAGAGAGAGAGAGAGAGAGAGAGAGAGAGAGAGAGAGAGAGAGAGAGAGAGAGGAGGGTGGGTAGAGTAAGAGAGGGGATGGTTAGATAGCCATGTGATGCGATTTGGTAAGATTTCTGGCTTATGGCTTTCATCTCCTGTTTTCAAGAATGTCTGCCTTTTATACATTACTCCTAATTTGTCTTAGGCTCGCAAAAGTCGCATTAAATTGAACGATAAACGCCCCATAGTTCCTACACACTTTGTTATAATGACCTATATCTTTGTGTTTCTTATCAAAGATTTGTTGTGCCTTTCTCCTTGTTCTCTCCCGTCTGCACCTATCTCACTCCCTCTCCCTCTCCCTGCCTCCTCTCTCGCTACTTCCCTCCCTCCCCTCCCTCTCTCTCCCTTTCCCCCTCCCTCTCCCTCACTCCCCCTCCCTCTCTCACTCTCTGAGGTAGTCGATCTTCTCTCTGGCCTCCTGGGGCTGCATCCTCAGTACAAACTTCACCCGCTGGTCCTCCCGGAGGAGATATATAAACACCCTAGCCTCGTCCCCCAGACCCGACCGGTCCACCACTGACACCTGGTGGCGGAAATCGGAAACAGAGAGACAGTTAGCGACTACTCGAGATAGCATAGTGAGAGGGTTGACAATTACAGTGTGCTGATGCAGTGTGCTATTTATTTCCGTTTATTTTCTTTTATTGTTCAGCTGTCTACAAAAATGTTGAAGTCATAATTACGTATTGCGACAATCGATGGATGTGATAGGTACATCGTTGGATATAAGATGATTGAAATATGAGATAAATAGGCGCTATATTGAATACCTATTCAATGACAGAAGGACTACGATATCTTGAAAAGGCAATTCAAATGATTCCCAGATATAACTACGATACAGTTGAACAGCGCTGAAAATTGAAGCATAAACGATACCCCCAGCTGAACTCTACTCTGAAAATAACTATTAGGTAAAACACGGAAATTCATCCAACGCTGAATACATACCATAAAGTCGAAGTAGCCTTTCATCCCTTTCTGCGGGTCAAAGTTGAGCGTCACGATGCCAGTCTCTGCATCCAGCACAAATGGTATGTCTCCAATGGTTTCCAGACCTGAAAAACGAGGAGTATGGAATTACGTCAGTACCCAAAGGACAAGGTTTCGCGACGCCTAATAGCTGTCTGAATTTGCTTTTGTACCCAAGTCTACACAAAAATCATATCCTCCTGGAAAGGGATCCTCTGGCATTAGATCTTGGAGACTGCAATGAAAGGTAGTACACTAACACCAGATATCAGCAACTGTGTCAGCGGGTTACAAAAAGGCAGATATGTGAGACTGCGTTACCGAGTGTGACAGTAACACCAGATACTATAGACTGCATTGGAGAATGTGGCTCTAACACCAGATACTGGGGACTGCATTGACGAATGTGGCACTAGCACCAGGTCTTAGCGACTGCATTTATGGATGAAACAATAACACTAGATGTTGGAGACTGCAATAATGTATGTGGCACTAACACAAAATCTTCGAGACTACACCTATGTATGTGACACTAACTTTAGGTCTTGGAGACTGCATTTGTAGATGACGATGTGATGTGGCGGACTACCTAGCACCAAATTTTAGAGACTGCAATGAAGAATGTGGTACTAACGTCTCATCTGGACTGCAACTTTGGCTGTGGCACTTACACCGGACCTTATAGCCTGAATTTACGGATGGGAGTAACAAAGAAATCTATGAGACTGCAATCTTAGATGTGGTACCAACACCAGGTCTTAGCGACGGCATTTATGGTCTATGGATGAGACAATAAAACTAGATGTTGGAGACTGCAATGATTATGTGGCACTAACACAAAAACTTGGAGACAACACGTATGGATGTGACACTACTACTTTAGACCTTGGAGACTGCATTTGTAGATGTGGGACTACCTAACACCAAATTCTAGAGACTGTAATTAAGAATGTGGCACGAACATCTCATCTGGACTGCACTTTGGCTGTGGCACTTACACCGGACCGTACAGACTGAATTTACGGATGGGAGTAACAACGAAATCTAAAAGACTGCAATCATGGATGAGGGACCCACCCTAGGATCTTGAAGACTGCATTTATGGATGCGACATTAACACAAGATCCTGGCGACTGCAATTATGCAAGTGGCACAAACGCAAAATCTTGGAGACGGCATTTATGAGTGTGGCAATAGCACCAGATCTTGGAGACTGCGCCTATGGATGAGGCAACCGCCTCAAGATCTTGGAGACTGCATTTATGGATGAGACAAGAACACCAGAGCTTGGAGACTGCATTTATGAGTGTGGCAATAACACCAGATCTTGGAGACTACATTTATGGATGAGACAAGACCCCCAGATCTTGGAGACTGCAATTATGCAAGTGGCACTAACCATACTTTGGGAAACTGCATTGATGAGTGTGGCACTAGCACCAGATTTTAGAGACTGCAACTATGGATGTGACACTAACTCCTCATACTAGACGCTGTAAGACGTTACACTAACATCAGATGACAGAGCTTGGAGACTGCATGAATGTATGTGAAACTAGCACATACTATGGACTGCAATCATGGGTGTGGCACTAACACTAGCTTTTGGACACTGTTATTACGGATGTGTCACTAACATTAACAACACTTCACATAAAAAAAACCAACGCCGATGTTTCAAAAATATTGTTTGTCATAAGAAAGGGACCGCATGGCAGTTCTATCATGAGCTTATCTTCGCTGAACGTTTTCTGGACGTCTGTGCGTAGAGAAGCTCGGCGTTTTACTTACCTTCGCTGAGTGTTTTCTGAACGTTTCCCTTGATGGCGTAGCGGAGCTCGGCGTTTTCCCCAGCATCAAGATCAATGGCCTGCCAGCAAAGGAATCAGTGTAATGCTATAGGAATTTACATATTAGGTACAAGGTTAATGGCATGCTCTTAGACACACAGTTTTGGACGCTTCTAGATGAAATGCGCATGACAAAAAAAAAACAGTGAAACTGAAGGAGTCCTTAAATACGTGATCAGCTTCTCGCCATCACTCCTTCCCAAACTGCTGAAACTCGTTTAACTCTGTCTCTGTTTAACTTGTATTTGTGTACGGGCCTGCCTTTCTTGGCGTTTTAAATGTTTATATTAGACATCTCTACGATGTCTCCCTAATGGTAAAAAAGAAAATGCACAGCATACAGCATACCTACACGCAAGATGGACTTTTGTAATGACACAGTGTCTATGTCAAAGCTTGACAATAACATCTAAAGCTGTATATCATCCTCACCTGTACAGTGATGACCTCTGCTCCGTAGTCGGCCTCCTCTCTCTCCCTCTCTCTCTCTCTCTCTCTCTCTCTCTCTCTCTCTCTCTCTCTCTCTCTCTCATCCTCACCTGCACGGTGATGACCTCGGCTCCGTAGTCGGCCTCTCTCTCTCTCCCTCCCCCCCCCTCTCTCTCTCTCTCTCTCTCTCTCTCTCCCTCTCCCTCTCTATGTCTCCTATCCTCACCTGTACAGTGATGACCTCTGCTCCGTAGTCAGCCTCCGTGGTCACGCCGCCCGTAAACAGTCGACGGACAAACTTTGGCTGGTTGTCGTTAATGTCATCCACGTGTACAATCACCTGGATAGAGACAGGCAGGGACGAGGGATAATCACCAGCATGTAGACAAAAATAGAGATGAGGGATAAACATCTGATATATCTAGGTAAAGACGGACAATGTTGACGTGATATTGACGTGATATTGACGTGACGTGATATTGATACTGACAAGGACGTGATAATAATTGCAATTATTGCAAGACCACAGTTACGCAGTCACTGAGGCAATCGAACAGTAAGATATTTTTGAGGAATTAGAGGAGACGGTCGTTTCAGTCGTGTGCAATGTTGCGTTGAAAGCATTCGAACCAGAAATATCACAGTTTATGCTTTTTCCACAGGGGAGCAATGCCGCTTCAACCCTATTGGCCGTAGTGTCTAACGGTGGCGGCCATATTGCGCAGACCAGAAACCGGCTGCCGCCTGTGTTGAGGAATAGGGAATTCGGGACCTCGATTTACGTTTGCGGCCGCCGTATCCGTTACGTTCAAGTTACGTAGATACGGAACCCGGCATCTTACGCAGAATTGAGTGGGGAACACGATCGTATCTTCAGAATTCCTCAAATTTACTCGCCTGACCTACATTTGCCCCGGCCGAGGGGGTTGATTGAACCCACCTCGCTAATGCACCGCTAATTAAACTAGAATTAAGCGGTAAAGTGGTCGTATGCGGCAAAGTATAATGCAGAGTGACTGGTAGGAACCCGCTGTAGGGGTCTCAGGTGAACCGGTGACCTCTGAGGTCAGGTCAAGTGATCTAAGGCACGGGTTCGGTTTTTCGTAAATAACTTCGCCAAAAATGGCCGTAGAGCCGCGATTTTGGCATCATCGTGTTCAGCTAGCTCAGGCGCATCGAGTGATATACTTTTTGTTCGGGTCAGGTCAACTTAGGGTGTTGACCTCAGGTCAAGGTCAGGTCAGCACCCTCAGGTCACGAAGCTGGTCGAAAGAGGTCATGTCGCATATCATTCGATTCGGCAGGTCTTCCTGAGTCCATTGGTGGCTTTCCCGACTCGCTAGCTCAATTTGATCGGGAGTTATTGAAGAAAAATGGTGACCCTTGTGACGTCACAAATGACGTCATGCAAGGGCAACAATGCAAATATGAAGCATAGAACCTTGCAAAGAGTGCATGAAATCATGATTTTATATGCTTGAGATAGTTTCAGATCATTCTCGGCGCCAAAATAACAATTTTCATATTTCCCCATTGACTTATAAGGGTTTAACGTATTAGTTCCTTATAGCTGATGATTTTTTAGGATTTCATCTTGTTCTCCACTCAATTCTGCGTAAGATGCCGGGTTCCGTGTCCACATAGCTTGAGCGTAACGGATGCAGCGACCGCAAACGTAAATTGAGGTCCCGAATTCCCTATTCCCCAGCACAGGCGGCGGCCGCTTTCTGGGCCTCGTTTCATAAAAGGAATTACTTACGGCGTTCCGTCAATTATGCCAGATTTGGCGTATTTGATGCCAATTCGGTTTCATAAAGCCGGAGACCGGAGTAATTCACGCCATCGAAAGTACGGAGCTTCATTTACGGCAAATGCTCGATTCCGGACCAATTGATGCCATTTGGGTTTCATAAAACGACGTAATTAACGCCAAATATTTTATCAAGCTCTTGATATCAGTGGTGTAAACTACGCACAAAAATGTTGCGTGATTTTGAATTAATGTGAAGATTCGAAGCTAATTTTTAATATATTTTATAATGTTGAGCCCGGTGAGGAAGAAAGAACAGCCAAAATGAGAAAAAGAAACTGCAAATCTTCTGTACCAGTCGCTTTTTGTGGCCACTATCGGAATTTTGTTTATTCGCCGCGCCGCGCCACTTTCGTAGTTAGGCACTTCTGCTTAGCTGGCTTTCTGCTGGTTTTAATATATTGTTTTAATATAGTATGGTCATCAATATCAATTTTATTTTTCATACATAATTTTTAAGATTTAAATTCAACATAATTGTTTTATAAATTCTCGTAAAAAATAAGTGTTGACATGAAATTGTAATTTGTAGGACGCTTGATAAATTACGGTAACTACGCAAATGTGCTTAGTTACGGAGGTGTAAACAATTCCAGTTGTGGCTTTGTGAAACGGATTTATTTGCGCTCCGTAGTTTGAAAGGGTGTGAATTACAGAAAGGTGTAAGTTACGGCAGAGTTTTATGAAACGAGGCCCTGGTCTGCGCAACATGGCGGCACCGTTGGACACCATTTGGCGGCCGATGCGCATTCCACATTATAGAGTTCAGTGGCTTTTTCATACCTTCAGCAGTGTATCATCCTCCGGTTTGAAGAAAGGCTCCTCTGGTGGTATCTTCTGGCAATCCTCGGTTGCCTTGACGACTAGCGTATACTGTGACGTCACCTCACGGTCCAGCTCCTTGATCGCCTGTCGGTGATGACGCCATATCATTAGAAAGAAGTTGAAGCGTGACGCTTGATGTCGAGTTCAACATCTTAAGTTGCCAGTTGGAACATATAATCTGTCCTTACGTTCTCCCGCTTTTACACTTAACGGTTACCATACTATAAACTTGAGAGTGAATAATCCATCCTTATATTTTTCATATAATCCCACCAGTGTCACATTTTGAAATAAATGCAAAATGAAAACCAGAACACAATGTTTCCCCCGTACAACTCACCATAATATCGTGTTTGTGCGAGTCCAGTGTGAAGAATCCCTCCTCATTCCCCGCGACTATGAAGTAGCACACGGGCGGCGCGCGGGCCAGCTCCTCTTCATCAGGTTCGTCTCTGTCCACGGTTTGGACCAGGCGGCGACGCTCCTCGCCAGGAGCGAGATGTTCTGTGGGAGAGGGGAGGGGGAGGAGTGTTGAGATTGTGTAACGTCCATGGGAAAAGTTTCAGTTTAGGGATTAACGACTGAAATAAGTATGTATGTCATTTTTTTCATACATTCGTTGACACTTATAAATAAAATATGCCAAAGTTTATGTTACGACGTAGCTATTTTTTTTTTTAAATCAGTTTCTACGAATTTATTTCTGGACAAACCGCATTCGTGATCAGTATACCTACCACTTGTTTGACTAGGTATGACACAAGTATCGCCTTTATATACGAAAGTAACCGAAAATGCGCCGCTATAAAATACATTTCAATGAAATTTGCACCTTCAAGCACAATATATTCACCTGTGAAATTCACTGAGAAGGTATCGACCAGAAACTGCGGCTCAAAGTCGTTGACATCACGGACGAATATGGTCAGGTCGAGATCGGAACTGAGCGCAGTCGGTACACCCAGGTCGTACGCCTCAACGCGGATCTGTCGGACAGAGGGTGACGTCATTGGGAGGATTAAATTACGTCACTGGGGTAGAAATAATGAAAGTGGCAATAATGAATGGTAAGTGAACTGAATGAAATAGAATTCAATGCTAGGACTGTTTGCAATAAAAAAGCGAAGAAACCATGGGTAACGAAGTATTGAAACCTACATTTTCAAAACACACTTCCAAGATTTTTGATTAAAAGTAACATTAAAAAGAAATGGTGAGTGCTTCTCATTATCCAAAATAATAAACATTGTGAGAAAATATGACCATGCATGTGCCACTCTAGGCCGGTTCAGTTCAGCTTAGTATTATTTTTTTATCCACCCATCACTAATCATACACCATTTCATGTGTCCATTCTCACCTCGTACACCTTTTGCCTCTCTCTGTCGAGCGGCTGGCGCAGCACTATCTGTCCAGTGACGTCATGAATCTGGAAGGTATGGTGGTTCCCCAGCAGATCCGGTCTCAGACGGTAACGTACTGCGCCGTTAATACCGACATCGGCGTCCTCGGCGTGGACGGTGATGATGGGCGAGCCCAGTGAGGCGTTCTGCGGGAGATCAGGAAAGAGCAATAACACGGAGGTCACACACAGCACAGTGGGAGGGCTTACTGTCAATGAAGATTTTAAATAATAATGACCTCATTTATATAAAAGTATGTTGCAACTTGCAGCCGTTACCATCGCACTCCACTAACAAACATCTAGGAACAGATGCTTTAGAGATCATAAAGAATCTCGTGGCATGAATTGTTCCAGCATGTACAGCCCTCTGCAAACTGCGTGGTAGGTATTCTTTTTTCGACAAAACCGAGAATAATGCGAATACTATGCTATCGGTCACTCGGAAATCGTAACAGCAAGACGCGCGAGACTTCGCACCCCAGATTGGGATAATCATTGTATTCCTTTTCCATCCAGCTTGGCAACAAAATCCAAAAGTTTATATTTGCCCCCAAAACAAACTTTGGCATTTTGTTGCCACACAAGGCGTATACTTTGATTAGTGATAGACCCAGTGGAAGGAGTGGAGCATGACGCATCTGTTTGCAGTGAGTTCCGACCGACTGATAACATAGCCTTCGAGTTATTATCGGTTTTGTCGAAAAAAGAATACCTACCACGCAGTCTGCTGAGGACTGTACCTAATTATAGGGCACAAACTACTACAAAATCTGTGTTAATTCCATGCAGCTTACATAGATAAATAGCTAACGGAGAGCAATTAACTACATACCTCTTTTCCTCTCTTTTTTTTATAACAGCATTCCAACAACTCGCAATTCTGTCATCAAACGTGGCCACGATCCCACACCATAAAACCACAATCCCAATACCAGTTGCAACCCACCTCAGGAATCCTGATGCTGATGTTGGCCGGCGGCTGTGTGAACCGGGGCGCGTGGTCGTTGAAGTCGGCAATACACACGGACATCTGACCCTTGGCGGTATTGGGTGGGTAGCCTGGGAAGAAACACGGTCAGGGAAGGATCAATACAGATCCCAAATGCAAATTACATGCCATAGCAGGAGAGAGTATGTTATCAGTGTGTTCAGTAAAATTAGGGGAGGGGGAATCATGGAGTACTTAAAGGGACAGTATCATCGAAAAAAAAATCAATGTATGGAGCTGATTTTTTTTTTACTAGCATTTCTTGTTTTTCTGAATCAGAAAAACATAGTTTGAGGACCGAACTCGGTGAAAAATATTGCAACCACATTTCATTTTCATGATTCATTTTCATGAGCGAACCACCACTATACAAGCATGGCCGCCAGTTTGGAAGCATGCAAAATTACTACAGAACTGGCGCAGATAATACATTATTGACGCTACGCTTACGCGGTCGTTCTTCTGATTGAGTTGTCCTTACGGAGAGGTAGCCTTAGGTATTTGTAGCGTGTCGCACTCACTTGTATTTGCTTCCCGATCAAGATAACACTTCAGTACAGGTGCCGCACTCTCTGCGCTCGGCTCCGATCACACACTGCCCTGCGACCGGTCAGCGACCTCCGCCGGCAGGCAGATAGGCCCGCCCTCTACGATCGAACACCGAAAGTTGCAGTTCTTACTCTTAACACTAGTTGAACGCCTACATATTGCCTATAAAAATATCACGTGACAATTGGAGGGAGTGACAATTGGACGTGACAATTGACAATGGGAGAAAATATCACGTGACAATCACGTGATAAACGTCATACATTGGAGGGAGATTGTGATTCAAGCTGGAGGAATTCCTTTGTTGAGCCGCTAGAATCCGAAGGAAACAGCGGAAATTGCCTACGACTATTTAATGAATTTAACGGTGATGAATAAGTGCGAAAAACGTTTTGGCTTTATAAAATTTGATGAAATGACCAGGGTAAAAGTTTTATTACTGGCGGTCAATTCAAAACGGCGCAAACATTTAAAAAGTGAAGATAGTGAAGCACGATTCAGCACGATTCAAAGTGTGGTACACCTTTCGTACTTTGAGCGGCGATAGCGGGATAACGGTGTGGAGCTTCGAGGATCGGTCTTCAGTTCCCGGACCAGAAAGGTGGGGCCTATGCAATGTCAAATTTCATCAAAATGGTGATACTGTCCCTTTAAAAAGTCGTCTGAAGATTTTTTTTGTCTAGAACACAAAATAAGGTATGACATGTAATGTTTAAATATGCATGCAAAGTATCAAAATGAAATTGTCCAAAACGGATCACTTCAAATTTGTTTCATTTAGGTAATTGAGAAACAGTGCTCCGACAATGGCGAACCTACTTTTCGAATCTTGGCTAGAGTGGCATATAAGACAATATCGATAGTTGACTTGTAACACTAAAACGCGTCAGAACACCCATGATGGTTGTCATGGCGACATGTGCTCACCTCCGTCCTCGGCGACAACAGTCAGCGTGTAGTTGCCATAGTAACCGACCAGACGTCGCGTGGCGAACAGGTTGGCAGAGTTTGCGTCAATGGCTCTCATCGTGAACAGACCTGCAGGAATGGAGTTGAGTGAGAGTAGTGTCGAGGTGAAAAGTTCTGGTTTCATGCTAGATGTAAAACGTGATCGATAGTGTGATAATTATCTCGTTATTTACTAGAAATTCGGAAGTCTTACGGAAAATGAGACACCTTAATTCAGTTTAACCCGCGCCCTGCTGGGGGTCCTGGATTTCCACGCCCTGCTGGGGGGGGGGGTGTTTGAACACCCCCCCCCCTGTAACTCGGCTCCTGGGCCACGTAGCGATACGCGGAAGGCGGCGTTCGAAAGAGCGTCAAAAATAATGACGAAATCACTTCGGTCAATTTTTTGGTCAGGTCAAAGGTCAGGTCACCAGAGATCATTTAAGGCAAAATTTCGCCGATTTCCAGGTCGAATGTCGAAAATTTCCAAGAAGCCAACGCATAACTCGGGAACCAATAGAGCTACAGCTCCGCAGAAAAGCGCATTCGATAGCCCTATTAACGCCCTTTCCGAATAATTCTCTCAGATTTGACCTAACGTCAACGGTTTTGCCTGCAGGGGGCAACAACTGGAAAAATAGCCGTTTTTTTTCGAAAACAGTTTTTCTGCAATAACTTTTTACCCAAACCTTGTACGAGCTTACTTTTACCGGCATCGTGTTCCTCTCGTCAAGACGCATCGAATGAACTATAACTTGACCTTGAAAGGTCAACTTGAAAATTTGACCTCAGGTCAAGGTCATGACCTGACCGGAAAGGGTCATGTTGCATATCAGTCGATCCGTATTGTCGAGCTGAACACATCTAAGGCGTTTTCATCGCTCTAGCATGCCTCTATCAAAAGTTATTGGCGAAAAACTGTTAGATACCATTCGTGACCTAAGATGACCTCAGGGCATAAACAGGGCTCACGGACACCATTTTCATGTTCACTGTGTCTAAACCACTTGTAATTCAGTGTTTGGGAGTGTTTATAATGTCTTTCATCCAAAAGAGGCGCATTTCAATTTTCTCCCATTGACTTATAATGGGGAGGTCGCAAAATTGACCTGACCTTAGGTCATCGATATCGAAATTCTGAGATATACATTTTGTACATGCTATAGCTCTTAGCAATCGCTGAAAGTTTCAAATCGATCGGTCACTCGGTGTAGCTATGACAGGCATTGAAAGTTTTTATGAGGTGAGGTCACTTCAAGTGACCTGGTGACCTGACCTTAAATGACCTTGGCCTGAAATTTTCACAACATGTGTAGAATTGATGCATGATAAGGTGTACCAAAAACGGCGGCGCTCCGCGCCGCCGTTTTTGAGATATTCGCGAAAAACCACAAGGGGGGTGTTCAAACACCCCCCCCCCCCCAGCAGGGCGCGGGTTAATTCACAATTTGCCAAAGAGGAACAAAGTCAAAATTATATTCCATCAACACTAAATAATTCAGCGTTCGATTCCCAACACCTCCCAAATTTTCCCCCATCCAGCTCACCGTCCTGGTTTCCCGCAGCAATACTGAATCGCACGCGTCCATTGGGTGTGGAGGCGTCATCGGCGTCATCAGCCGTCACCAGTGTGATGACGTCCCGCGGGTCGTGAAACTCGGTCACGGTGACACAAGTCGAGGGAAGGTGTAGAACCGGAGCCTGGTCGTTTACGTCGGACAGCTCGACCCTGATGGAGGAGGCAGTAAGGGTCAAAATTGAGGTGAGATGTGTCAGCGTTTCACCTTTATAGCCTGTGCTGCCAAAGTATTATTTTCAGTGAATAAAAGCGTCAGCTTCATATCTAATATGAAGTGGTTTTCTTTATCTAGCCTAACCTATCCAACCAAGCTCTGCTGCATTGTTTCCCAGCTTTCCATGCACCCAGCCTTACCCCACAATTCTTCTCGCCCTACTTGTTTCATCAAACATCAAACATGTTTCCTTTTTGGCAATATTGATGCGTCTTTCGTTAGCCAGCTAGTCTAACCTATCTTGCCCCCCCCCCCCCCCCCCCTTCTTCCCAATCAAACCCGATTCATTCTCGCCCGACTGATCGCATCAAACACCGTCACATACCTGATTTGTTTGAAAGCGTTCCGGCTCTCCCCCGCCGTGAACCCGAACTGATAGTTGTCCCAGACTTCTATAATCAGCGTGTACACGGGCTGCTCCTCGCGGTCAAGCTCCGCGAGCACCGTCACCGTTCCTACACAACGGTAATAGAACACGAACGTGGGATGTAAGTACAGGAAACATACAGTGAAAACCTCAGGGTCCAGTTCGGTGAGCACGGCTGCCTTAACGACGGAAAAGGAACACAGTCCAGTTATGCGAGCACTGCAAGCGTTAAAGCGGGAATGAACGTGAAATGAGACAGAGAGCGTGGCACGCCGTGGCAGTATACGAATTCATATTTGGGACGGTAAATGAAAAGTTTGTAACGGATGGAGACTATTTTGTGTAGGTACACATATCACACGCCACAAAAAATGTCACATAAAATATTATTCTCAGAAAATGGCAAAAAACTTTTAACACGCTTGGAATTTTGAATATAAAAATACTTAATTCCAAAAAGTACCGTCACAAAAACACATACACAAACCAAATAATAGTATTACCTGTGTCGGCGTTGATCTGGAATTTGCCGGCGGAGGAGCGCCGGTCCAGCCGGTAGGTCAGTCGGCCGTAGTCGCCGCTGTCCATATCCCTGGCTTCCACCTGGACCACCACGGTACCTGCGGACAGGTGAAATCAGGGTCAGATCAGGGTTAGGTTCAAGGACAAAGTCAGTTCATATCAGGTCAGGGTCAAGGTCAGAGTCAGGTCAGATCAGGTCAAGATCAGCTAAGGTCAGGTTAGGTCAGGTAACGCCAGGTAGGGTCAGATTAGGGTCAGGCTAGTTGAGGATTTGGGTCAGGTCAGGGTCAGGTTAGGTCTTATCAATACAATACAATGGTGAACTAAAATACAGTGTTTGTTTATATATTATAGCAGATCTTTTATATTGTATTGATATTGCTATTTGCTCTTCACAAGTTTTTAACATGGGCTCTGCTTATTGACTACCTTCTGGGCATAACTAGAATGTTGTCGTTAGGCACTATCGCTACTCTGACTTTCATTCTGACTCACCGACGGCGGCATCTTCGCGGAGAGTCACTACTGACTCCGAGTCGACAAACTGAGGGTTGTTGTCGTTTTCATCCAGTACCTGATGACAGATCATCGACAAAGTCCAATGTCAAACCAGGTCACCCAGGGGTGTGTAAAGTTTACAAAGACGACAGACATTGGGTTTCTTGTACTTTGATGGTTGAAACGTGACAAAATAGAGGACAAGTTTGAAAAGACACGATAAGCTTATATAGAGACATATGGTGAAATACTGTAAAAAGGCACAAGAGTTTGATGAAGGTACCTAATAATGATGTCAAAGTGATCTTGATCTTCGAAAATATATACTTTACGACTTTGTAGGCGAGAGTATCTGCACTTTTACCGTTTGAGTTGTACGACAAACACTTGTTCCCGGATCCTCCATTCCAAGCATTCGCCAGGCAAATCGCATATCGAACATTCCTATCCAGGGATTGAACTCACAACCCTTCGCTCCCCAGCCCAGCTGACGCACACCCACCTGCACATAGACGTCGGCGTTGGCTGTGCGGGGCGGTCTCCCGCTGTCCGTGGCCTTCACGGTAAAGTTGAGCCAGGTGGTCTGCTCGCGGTCGATTCGCTTACCCACCACTATTTCACCGGTCTCCACATCCAGAAACACCAGATCTGCACCGAAATTTGCACTTGTTAACCAAAAACGGCTGTCGCGTATTACCTGTCGTTTATATCTAGTTCCATGTCTACCATCTCCTCATAACCCGTAAGCGTGATGATCTCACCAGGCTCGAATCTTACCTATCGTCTGTATCGTGACCACTGCCCGACTCTTTCGCTCCCTGTGTCACTCCGAACTCTCTCCTAAACCTCCTCCTTGAAATCGCCCCTGCTGTGCTAATAGCCCCTATATTAATAAGGTATAAGTCCCTAATGACCCTCTTCTTTCCTATTGATACCATCCCACCCCTACCATGACCCTCCCCAAACTTTCCTCCCTGGATCCGCCCTTGCCATGACACCTCCACAGACCTTCCCACTTCCCTTCCTGGCCCCCTTCCTGCGGCATGTAAGGTTCTAATCATTAATAATTAATTACCCGTTCTTCCCCTCCCTGACACCGCCCCTGCCATAACCCCCTCTACTGATCTCCTAACTTCCCCATCCTGAAACTGCCCCTGCCATGACCACTCCACTCCCCCTCCTCGCCTCCCTGACGCCGCCCCTGCCACGACCCCTCCGCTGGCCACCCCACTTTCCACCCTGACTCCGCCCCTGCCGTGACCTCCCCCCGTGTCCCTCCCTGACACCGCCCCTGCCACGACCCCTCGGCTGACCTCCCCACTTCCCACCTTGACGCCGCCCCTGCCATGACCCCTCTGCCGACCTCTCCACTCACCAATGATCTCCGCCGGTCCGTGCAGACTGTACTGTATCGTCCTATCGACATCCTCATCCTCCGCCACCACACTGACTATTGGTGTACCGGGCTTGCTGTTTTCCATGACAGAGCGAATATAGTAGGGTTGTCGGAAGATGGGATTGTGGTCGTTGACGTCAGCTAGACGAACTGTCAGCGTTGCTGAGGGGAAGAAAGGGCGGGGAGTTGAGGTCAAGTCATGTGTAGGTCAAAGAGATCAGCGAGGTAGGTTATTGGCAATTACGTGAAAATTCAGAAGTTACGCGAAGTCATTCTATAAATTACGACCGATTCGTATGTCGAAGATATCACGCATGCCAAGCTTTATCCATGTATTTCATGGTTTTTGATTGGTATGCCGTGAAAATCGCATCCATCGTTTCGCAAGCAAATTGAACTAATTTTGAAAGTTGAAACATGGACAAATATATTTCCACTTTTCCATCTTTCAAGGCTTCCATATCTCACCAGTGGCGGTTTGCCTGGCGTTCAGAGCTGCCAGATCCTCTACCCGAAGCACAAGACGTATCGTCTCAACCCTCTCTCTGTCCAGAGTCCTGAAGAGCAGCACGAAATGTGTTAGTGACGTCTGGATTTAGTATTTTATGATCTGAATCAGTTTGCTATTACTTTTCATTTGAAGTTGATGTTTTATTCAAAGTTGCGTTCATGTTCAGTTTATAGTTTCCATTGACAATTCCTGACCTAAACCGCACAGCCACCTAATTTTGAAAGTTGAAACATGGACAAATATATTTCCAACATTTCTGCTACGGTCAACAAGCAACCAATAGATGATTGTAATGATGATGATTGTAAGCTAATAACTAGAAAATGGGAGACAAAAGACAATGAGACAATTCCAGAAATAAAGAAGGAGAACTAGCGTCAAAGAGTAGACAGTAGTCGGCATAGGCGGCGGAACAGGGAGGGCACCGGGGCACCGTGCCCCCTTTGATTTCGGCATTTCAACATTAGCCCTATGGGCGTTGCATGGAAAGAATGGGACCAAAAGTCGGCAGTGCCCCCCCCCCTTTATTTGAAGGTGTTCCGCCGCTACTGATAGTCGTCACGACTCTTCTTACCTGGCGGTGCGCACTATGCCCTCAATGGGATGGATCTGGAAGGCCGCCGTAAAGTTGTAGTCGGAGGCCCTCACCAGGGTTCCCTCCTCCGTTCGTGCCTCGCCCAGGCTGTGGTCGATGCTAAAAATATAGAGGGGAGGATGACGTCAGTGACGAAAGTGTGGCATCGGTGGCCAAGCAATTGTAACTTCATAAGGCGGGTCGAACGTGCATCGGTTCAGTAAATGACGTAAGCTTGAACGGGGATTTAACGGCTACAGCGTTTAAATTTCTCCGCGGTTTTATGTCCAAAGTTTCTGCTCGGACAAAAAATAAAATCAACCCAAAGCTTCACGGATATAAAAGATGTTAGATAGGAAGAGGCATTTGACATTTCTCAAAAATCGATAAAAGTTGGGCTGAATATCTTTTAACCCTTTAATGATCACATCGTCAAAACTAAAAAAGATTTCCCAACATGTTTAGCCCTGGTATGAAATTCGTCAGTTATGCTTGATTTCAAACGCCAATGGGTGTTTCTGATCTATGCTTTAACCCTCGCCCGTAAACGGTGTTTTGCCACCTTCGCCCATGCAGGGTGGGTTGGTGCGAACCCCTGGCGTTTGAAAACAGAGCGTCGTAGAGCTTAGCGGAAACGACCAAAGGATTGCTCACAACGAGATCTTGCGATTGGTGGTATATTTTTTGGTCCTAGGTCAACATGTGGCCTACTTATGACCGGTCAAGGGTCAAATTTTCGAAAAAATCCAACTTTTTTCAGATTTCTGCGCCGATTGCGGCAAAATGGTAACAGATATCGACTTGAAACCTTCACTATCGTGATCCTTGATCAATTCTCTATCGTTTGGTGTGTATGTCGATGTCATAACTCTAAAAATGATGCGTTGGGAGTATCGGAAGTCTGCAAGGTCATTTGTGCATTGGGTCACGTCAGGCGTGTGACGTCACTGACCTGACCCTGACCCAAAATGAACTACAAGAAACAACCGACGATGCCTGAAATGGATAGCAAATTCGAATTCAGGGCATCAAAATACCCCGAAAAGGCATACAAGTGCAAGAAGTCAGTACAGGTCAACCGAGGTCACTGACCTTACCTTGACTTTTAGTAACCTTCAAAATGTCAACGGACATTGTGCCAATGTCAAATCAGCCAGTTATGATTCTAAAACAATCCATCAGTGTGTCAGGTCAGTCGGCATTTATACCAATGTGAAGCAATCTCCAATTTAGCGTAAATCTGGCCGGAGGTTGTTCCCTTTATGACGTCATAACTTCGTGACCTGACATGACCTTGACAAAAAATACCAAAAGTTGCGCAAAGGATGCCCCATAGGGTACTGAAAATTTGAGCAGGCTATCTGAAACGGTTCGGCGTGTAGCTAAGAAAAACCTCAGGGGGGGGGGGGTGCACCCCCCCTACATGGGCGAGGGTTAATAACACCATAAGGTCGACATCCCACCGCCTCACCACACAACTCTGACCTGTATCGCAGCAGTGGCACTGCGTCCAGATCAGTGGCCACCACCCTTCGGACGACGGAGCCGAGTGGTGTGTCCTCTGGTATTGTCACCAACCCCGGGTCCGAGAAACTGGGGACAGGTCGGGTCAGCTCGATCAGCTGGCAGTGAGTGACAGATCAAGACACAGTTACACAGATCACAGGTCAAGGCAAGACAGGCTGTCAGTTGAGGTCGATAGTGATCATGCACCATTTTTGGTTATGTTATTAAGAAGCATACTTTCATTTTCTGCAGAAAGTAAATGAAACATATTTCATGGAGATGCGTTTGAAGATACTGTTTTGTTTTTGTTTGTTTTTGTTTTTGTGTTAGGCCCTTTCGGTCTGACGAGACCATTTCAGAGCCGGAAGGATGATAGGAATTAGGGGGAGACATTGGTCTGGGCATGCACCCTAGTGAGTCACCGGGGCTGAGCCCGTCCAGAGGACAGGCCAACCAGCCCCAAGGCACTCACTGCACCCGGAGCAGCGGTGCCGCTCCAAGGGAGCAGCCCGCATGAGATAAAGGTGCCTGTCCAGCCCGGAGGGGGTTGCAGCGTGGAGGAGAAGGATTTCAGTATCTTGAGGATAGAAGCACGGAACGGTAGTTTGAAGATGCCGCCAAATCGACAATCTGTAGAGTGTGGCATAATAACGAAGAGAACTCGTAAAAGAAAAGGCCGATAGGCATAACCACCGGACAATTTGTATACATGTACACCCTAAACATACCTCAAAATTCTGCCAACATCCAGCATATCCTCCCACCTGGGCAGTTTGTTGTTGACGTCCTGGATGGTGATGTTGACGGTGGCGACATCTACCAGCTGGTCGGCGCCGAGCCCGCCATCTAGCGCCGCCACCGTCAACTTGTAGTTGGCGGCGCGAGGTCGGCTCAGGTCGGGGTCCAGGTTGGCACCCTGGGGAAAACACAGTGTTTGTTTTGAGTTTGGTAAGTGATAAGTAGTATAAGTTGCAACGCATGAATGCAGCTCAAATGTGTCTATATTTGAAACATAATAAAGTGTAACATAAAAAATGAAACTTAGGCAAAATAATAAGGGAAGAGTTTTGTCTCGATGTTTTAACAAATTGTCAAAAAAAGCGACAACAATATCTAAATAAGCCAGGTAGGCCCCTTTACATCAGCGTATCGGCAATCATAGGATTGCCGGTCAATTCGACCCACAGCTGCACACACCATCCTGAGTGCATAAGTATATTCATGAAAATATTACCATTTAACTACCCTTCTGACTTCCAAACGACACCCACCTGAGCGACAGTGATGAGTCCTGTTGTCGAGTCAATGACGAACTTATCCTGGGCCCCGTGCTGGATTCGGTACACCACCCGACTGTTCTGTCGCGAGCCGTCAGCGTCACTGGCAAATACCTGGGAGGGGGGGGGGGGTATAAAGACTTATGAAAAAAAAAATCGACATCGCATTGGTTAAGGAGACAGGCACTAAGCAACTCCAATATGATCAATTCTTTGACTATTATTGAGGTAGAGTGCAAATTATAGTGACTCTACTCTAAGTGATACAGGCAAACTCATTTGTGTACCTATCTGACAAAAATCAAACACTCATTTGGAATGAGTGACATCAGTGCAGCGAAAGTGGCGAAAATGTTACTTATCGATTTCAATTATCTAGCCTGTATAACTTTTTCTTTTAAATCAGTCGCAACAGGGGGCGTATCTTGAACAACAAAAATGTAAAATCTATTAGGCACCTCTAACTGATGTGTTTGACCAACATACATAACGTTAGCTCGAACTAACCCATTTGGCCTGACTGACCAGTAGTTGACCCCTGTGACCTCTCACTGACCTGTATGACCCGTGTACCACCTGGCGCGTCCTCCGATACCGTTTTGGTATAGACGGCCCGGTCAAACCGCGGCGCCTCGTCATTCTGGTCAGTGACGACCACCTGCGCTCGGCAGAGTGTGGAGAGCGGCGGCTGGCCTGGGGAAAGGGAGGGAGGGGATGTCAAACTGTTTGTCGCAGGAGGGGTACAGAAAGTGACAAATGTGATGCGATATGACGATGACGTAGGTATTACGTAACGATATCATTACCATTTTATCTCTATAATGGCGCATTATTTTAAGAAAATTGAAGCGATAGTTTTTACCACAAGGTTTATTATCTAAAAAAGTAATTTAAAATATCTTTTTATATATATTTAGTAGCAAAATATTTCTTTATTGTAAAAATAATTGCTGTTACCTATCAATCACCTACACCACTGATCAAAATATAAGTCAGGCTCCTCAATTTCAACTGGAAATGAATGCATACCTTTATTTTGTTTGTTTGTTTGTGTTGTTGGGTTAGGCCCTTTCGGTCCAATGGGACCATTTCAGAGCCGGGAGGATAATAGGATATAGGGGGAGACATTGGTCTGGGCAGGCACCCTAGTGAGTCGCCAGGGCTGAGCCCGTCCAGAGGACAGGCCACCCAGCCCCAAGGCACTCACTGCACCCGGCTACGGGTTGCGCTCCCTCAGGAGCAGCGGTGCCGCTCCAAGGGAGCAGCCCGCATGAGATAAAGTTGCCTGTCCAGCCCGGAGGGGGGTTGCGGCGTGGAGGAGAAGGATTTCAGTATCCTGAGGATAGAAGCACGGAACGGTGCATACCTTTATCGGCCACCTGAACAGTCAGGTTGACCATTCTGGTGTCACCCTCTCCGAACAGGGCCTCAAAGTCCAGAGGTCGGGTCAAGGTCAGTTGACCGGTGCTGCCATCTATAGTGAAGTTACCGCCCGGGTCACCGGCCACTATACGGAAGGTCAACTCCGAGTTGGGGGTGCCTGTGGGGAGAAGAAGAGGTCAGATGGGGGGGGGGGAATGAATCAATGGAAAGAAAAGTCAACTTGCGCAAGGAGCCTCTGACCTACCCTATGGGACAGTTCATAAATATTTGATCGGAGTTACAAAAAAAGATTTTCGCAAAAGCTTTGACAGGGAGAACAAGTCCTGAAAACGAGCGCCCGTCAATCGAGCGATTAACTTTCCCTGATATTGCCGTGTCCCGTCCTTTTTCCGTAACGCCTCATGTCTCTCCATCTATCTCTCATTTCCCTTAGCTCTATCTATTTATCGCTCTTTTCCCCAACCTCTCTTTACCCTCTCAGTCTCAACACACCCACCGGGCTGGTCGTCATCGGTAGCCTCTACCCGGGCCGGCTGAGACAGCTGAGCCGTATTTTCGGCCACAGTTAGCCTCAGCAGAGGACGCAGACACCGCGGGGTCTGGTCATTGACGTCAGTAACAATCACCTCTAGCGGTACGCGGTTCCTGTGAAAGAAAGGGGTGTGAGGGTTATGATTGGCAAGGTGAAATAACACAGACTATAATTCATAAAACAAATTTAAGATTTCTTTGCCAGTCCAGCTATAAGTTATTCCTACTTCACTCATTTATAATGGTGAAACTATGACTGCCTGTTTCTTTTGTCTGTTTATTTGATGCGTTGTTTTCTCAACTGTGATCTCACTTCTTCTGACTACTCCTATATCTTTGGACGAGATATCTCCACAGGTAGGTAGCTGATATCGAGCCGCCTCGCCTCACCTTGCCCATGCTGACAACTGATGTCTCGCCGCTGCCTCACCTTGCCCATACTGACAACTGATGTCTCGCCGTTTCCTCACCTTGCCCATACTGACAACTGATGTCTCGCCGTTTTCTCACCTTGCCCATACTGACGACTGATGTCTCTCCGTTGCCTCACCTGTTTCCCCGCCCGTTGTCGTCCCGTGCCTCCACAGTCAGCTGATGTCTCGCCGTTGTCTCACGATCCAGACCGTGGTCGTCGGTTAGGACCGTGATCTGACCCGTCTCCGTGTCGAGACGAAGACTGAAAGTGAGAAGGTTGATGAAAGGCTGAACATAGTGACTTTTGAGAAGGTTCATGAGTTCAAGATCGCCTTATTATTCAAATCAATTTGGCCATTCCATTAAGTAAGAGTGCACCTTTATTTAGCTGGGATCACTGAACATGATCAAAGGAGGCCAAACGACAATTCGCGACTATCATCGCCACATATTTTGCGAAAGAGACGGAGGATAAGTCTTGCGCCAAAATCCGTCGTGCTAAAATGCTACAGCTCGTTTGGCAAGTTCTCAATAATAAACAAAAGGAATAACTCCATGTAGTGTTCATAGAGACACATCATGTTATGCCAAAGATGCATTTGATGTTAGCATCTGTGCTTATATTCAGCATTTAATGTATATTTCCAAACACCTTAGAGCAGCATACTCACAATTCGGCGATATCCCCGGAGAGATCGGTATACCGAACTCCCTCCGTTCCAAACGAGCCAGAGTCGGGGTCTAGCGCCTGCATCCAGGCAATCATAGTCCCTCGACGGACATTCTCCGGGACTGAGACCTGGAACACAGTGGGTTTGTAAACTCTCTGTCTAACACAGAAACTCCGATAAAAGAGGGGTCGTGTCATTTGGGTGATAAGTCGATGAGTGGCATGTGATGGGGGCAAATGAAGATAATTTCTCATTCTCTTACGTAAAAGTGGGGGGATAGAAACACTTCGTAACCCTGGGACAAAAACACAATTCGTTTAATTTTATTTTTCCTTTTACGATTTTTATTTACTAAACAAACAAAGAAAACAGGCATTGAAAAGATGAAAATCCATAGAGTAATATTTTACAATAAAGTAGCTGAGCTAATCACAAAAAGAACCGTAGCGTGCCCTACAAGATTTAGTAATTCAAGCAACAATTTTTGTTTCGAGCATTCATTAATCAAATTTCACTTACTACGTATCGTTTTTCGGCGAACTCGGGAACATTGTCGTTGGCGTCTCTAACATAGACTGTTACCGTCGCTCGGGAGGACTTGGGGTTAATGTCGGTGACCTCCTCCGCCACGATGGTGAAATTCAACTCTGAAAAGAGCAGAGGTAACCAAAATTCATCGTTGTCCCTCGATCCAGGCAATTGCGCTATTTCGTTACCTATAACAAACATCATTTGAACTTTTATTACGGAGCGAGCGAAGCGAGCGGAGTCTCATACTGAATTAACCCTCGCCCTGGCAGGGCATTTTTCATAACACGGCCTGGCAGGGGGGGGGGTCGATGCGACCCCCCCCCCTCGCGATTGGCTCCTATGGCACCTAGAAACACCAAATTCGGTAGGTAGGTGGGCCCCCTGGAGTTCTCGCCCCTGTGCAAATTTGGTTGCTCTAGGTCAATATTTAGGGGGGTTTTGGGGGGTATAAATGTAAAAATTTCGCTAAAAACAGGTCAAAAGTTTTTCGCTTATAACTTTTGATCTAATTAAGATAAAGCAAAAAGAAAAGCACCAGTGAACTCAGCACGTCAAGGCGCGTCGAATGATATACTTTTTATCTTGCTTAAGTGTACATAAAGTTTTTCTTAAATTTTAAGTAAACTTAAATTAATAAATTAAGTTAAAGTTAACCAAATTGCATCATATCGCATATCATTCGATTCGGCTGATCACCAGGAACACAATGGTACCATTTTTTAAGCTCTAGCGTCATTATGTGCCAAGTTATTGGCAAAAACGTCATTTGCCCTCAGTTGACCTCATTGGACCTGACCCATGGATAAGTACACCAAACAAAGAAGCACCAAGTGACCTGCTGTTGAGTACTGTGGTTTCAAAGCACAAAAGTGATAGAACGAAGCGGATATCTCCAGTATTTTCCGAATTTAGTATTTTCCCATAGGCTTAACATTACGACGTAATGACCTCTAACTGACCTCAGGTCAGTGACCTCAAAAAACCCGAACTATATGTTATACAACTCGGTGAACTTAGCACATCCTGAAAGTTTGAAGGAAATCAGTGCAAAACTGTGAGTTGGACAGGTGCAAAAAGAAATTTGAAATTTGACCATGACCTTGTACCGGTTTTTCTGACCTGGTGACCTGACCTAAGGTCACCCGGACCTGAAATTTTCAGGTCATATGTAAAAAGGTTGCCCCATAGGCTGTGCCAAATTTGGCGGCGCTGCGCGCCGCCGTTTTTACGCTATCTTCGAAAAACCTTAGGGGGGGTCGCATCGACCCCCCCCCCCCTGCCAGGGCGAGGGTTAAGGGAAAATCCTGAGTATGAGCGGCCGGCCGGCCGGCCGGCCGGCCGGCCGTGGGGACGCTCTTCAAAAGCTAATATCTTAGGAACGGGACATCCGATTGACAAGCGGTCTTCTTTACTGAATGTCACTTGGACGTAAAAGTTCTGTGGTGTGATGGCCACCATGCGTTCTTGCCAACCACCGCACGTGGCGCGTGGTAAAGTTGGACATTTTTTAAGAACCCCCAAAATTGCAACCTCAATAACGGCACAACGGTTGGGCCGATTGAATTGAAACTCGGTACACAGTTAGGTCTCCATCAGATAATTCATCTGCATGTGTTAAGGTTGGGGTGCTACAGCACGTGCGCACGTGCAGGGGGCGCTCCCAGATCTCGAGAACGGCTGGGCCGATTGCGCTCAAATTTGGTACACGGTTGGGGACCAGTTAGTAGGGTGCCGTGCAAAAGTCAGTTTGGACCCCGCTTGCACGTGCGCACGTGCAGTGTGCCGCTTCCAGATCTCGAGAACGGCTAGGCCGATTGCGCTGAAATTTAGCACATCGCTAAAGACCGGTTAGTAGGGTGCAGTGCACAAGTTAGTTGGAGGTACCCCCTCGCAATTTCGCACGTGCAAAGCCCATCCTCTGGCTCTCGCTCGCTCCGTTAGTCGCCCAAAAGGCGTTTTACTGGTTTGTATTTATAAACATTATTTGTTTCTGAATAAATTATTAATAAATACAAAAGTTATTTATAGTGGCTTGATAATTATTTAAGAATGAGATCTAACAAAGAACATCAAGAAACTAGCAGCAATACGACAAACAATAAACCTTCTCCGGCTCTTCTCTGACCCTTATCTCAACTCAACCCCTTACACTCACCTCTGGCCGTCTCGAAGTCGATACCGGCCGGGTCCCGGACCCTGAGTGTCAGTGTCGCTTCGTTCACACCTTCCGGAGGTGTAACTTCAAAGGCGCCGCCGTCACCCTCGAGGTACAGACGAAACGTGCCATTTGTGCCCTGGTGGAGGGGGTATTAGTTCAGAGTGGATGATAGATGAATAAGTCGTTTTGTGATGTTGGCTGAGAATCGCTTCCACACTTACCTTTCTCACTCCTTCTTACTGCCTTCCCTACGTTATTTTATTTATAATCATCTATCTTTCTTCCCACCTCTCTTTTCTCTCCCCATCTAGCCTACAAACCCTCTCTATCCTCTTCATTCCTATCTTATTTTTTGCTATATTTTTATCCCTCCCGCCTCTCTCTCTCTCTCTCTCTCTCTCTCTCTCTCTCTCTCTCTCTCTCTTTCTCTCTCTCTCTCTCAATCTCTCAATCTCTCTTTCTCTTTCTTTCTTTCTATCTCTCTCTCTCTCTCTCTCTCTCTCTCTCTCTCTCTCTCTCTCTCTCTCTCTCCTCTCCATCTTTCTCTTTCTACATACCACTCACCTGGTCATAGTCATACACCTGCGGCGCCGCTGACCCGACAAAGGTCAGTGGTAGATGGCGCTGAGCTGCCTCGCTCACTTCGGCAGTATAGGTGGCGCTGCTAAACGTAGGCGTTTCGTCGTTAACATCTGTGAGAATGACCGTAGCCTCGGTGGTCACGTGATCGGTGTTTGAGCCGGCTTCTCGCGCCTGCAGGGAGAGGCGAGGAGTCACGTACTTTGAATTTTGCTGTTCAACGCTATGTTTGTGAAATGTTTTGCTGAAGCAAGAGAAGCCTGTAGCGCATAGTAGGTACGAGATGGGATAACAAACAAAAAGGCATTCCAAGTTTCCTTCGAATAAGTTTAGACTAGAGCGGGGCAGTGCTTCCTATTTGATAGCAATCCTACCTAGTTCCGACTTACCCCTATCGTTAGAATATAGGCGCCGTTCGTTTCAATCTTCCTCTCTCTGTCAAGCGGCCCAGCCACATAGATGGCACCACTGTCGGCGTCGATGGAAAAGATGGCGCCACCTCCGAACATGGCGTACTCGATGGCTGCGTTTACGGCTCGATCACCGTCAATGGCCAGCACTGTAACAAAGGGTTCGGACGTCATCGGAAAGTTAGAGTCATCTGTCCTTGTCTTGTTTTGAACTTTTAAACTTTTGTTTTACTTTGGATTAGCGACACGAATTTCATTGCTGATTGAATAAAGAAATTGTGAAATTGAAATTAAACCAAATAGGTCTACATTTTCGTAAAGGGCGTTGCCGAATAAAAAGTAAGAAGTTTGGCTGAAGTAAAATTGACATAACTTGGCGCCTATTGCTAAGCCCAGTGCTACCGGTAAAAATATTCGTTTCAACAACAGTGGCCTCCTTTTCAGGTAAAACATCTCTTTCAATATCCGAAGCAGGCAAATGGCTTTGAATCAGTTTATTCGTAATGTTACAGCCTCTCTCTGCATCAATCCTTCTCGCTACCTAATCAGTCCGAACACTGCACCTTCCCATCGCGTCCTCACCCACCTTTCATGATCTGGGCCCCGACGGCGAGGTCCTCAGAGATCCGCGTCACGGGCGGCACGACCACAAACTCGGGAGGACTGTCAGCAACGTCCTCCACGCGGACCACCAGAGCCGCCGTCGCTGTTCAGGAGGAAAAACGGGCAAGTGGAGATACTGGTGAGCAATTCATTATTGATTGGAACTCTCAAAGTAAATATGTTTGAGAAGTGCGGTGATTTTTTATGTGTGTAAGTATCCGGCTAAATAATATTATGCATAAATAAGACGCAGTTTCATGAAGATTGAAGGGGCATTCCACGATAGATCGACCAAAGTCGTACACCCTCATATTTTATTTTTTGCTTAAAATTGGTCTAATGGGTTGTTATGGGCGGGGAAGCCAGCTGTGCCAAGGATTTTTTTCTTCGAACACCGGTTTCTGAGATATAGCCTCAGGCAATTCCTGGAGGTCACGCTGCAACCCTATGTTTGGCGGCTTATAACTTAGAAACTATTGGTTTTCAATGGTAAAAACTTCATATGGTTCAACTTGCAATCAACAAGCGAACGTTTTGGCTATCTCGGATTTTCGAGTTTTGAAAATTTTGATCACGTGACATCTTGATCTTTTTTCGAAGAGTGACCTTAATATTTTCCCAACTGAAAGTCGCAATTTTGTCTGATGACGATTAAAGCCTTATCAATTGTCATTCATATGCGACAATAAAAAATTGGCTTTCGGCCTGCATTGACCTGAAATCAGGTCATTTTTTGACCTGTCCTTTATAAGTCAATGGCAGAAATATCGGCTACCACCGAAACGCATCTGACCGGTTCAAATACTTTTGAATCATGTTGAGTTAGGCTATTGATGATGGCACTGGTGCAGCTTTGTATCAGTGACCCGCTGAAAGGTCATCCGAGGTCACGCGTTGAACACACAATAATTTTCCGTTTTTGGCTGTACCTTTTGATCTAATAAAGAAAGTGACGTAGAATAGGCACCAATCTGTTTGATTTCGCTTAGCGCCAGTTCGTTTTGAATTTCGATACCGATGACCTGAGGTCAGGTCAATTTATGTTTATTTGCTCATCACCAACAGGTACAGATAAAACCCGGTTACAGGTGAAGTCATGGATAAATATAAGATAAATCTATATAAATACACGCAACCCTTCGGACGGACAAAAGCTCAATAAAAGCCAGCTCGTGCAGCATGGAGCCTTACAGAGGCCTTGTACACTGATATCGGAGAATAAAAGAAGTCTAGAGATGTGTTGTCTCTTAAAAGCTCATTGCACCTCGATGGGATACGGCAGAAGGTATTGTTTTTGATCGTTGCCACTCGAGCAAACGGACCGGTTTACCCCGCAGGGGGCTGACCGTGGTCAGAGCTGCTGCTTAGCCGGGGTAACCTGGCCCCGGCTTTGCGGCGGCTGTGACTTCGGCCAGTAAGGGGAGTAGCGCCCCCTCGGCCCCAGCTTGACGCGCGTTTGACCTGGACTTGCCTTGCTTACTGGATGGAGTGTCTGCAGGATTGGCCCCGCAGGGGGTTGGCAGTGGCTCGGGTTGCTGTCGGACTGGGTTCCTTGGGCCCTTGCCCCGCGGCGGCCCTGGCCTCGGCCAGCAAGGGGAGTAGCGCCCCCTCGGCCCCAGCTTGACCCATGCTTGCCTACGACTTGCTTTGATCGCTGGATGGACAGATGGTACGGCCCGACTTTTCTCGGTTTCCGTGGTTTTGTTTCTCTTGAGCGGTCTTTGTTTGCTTTTGCTTTGCTTCTCACCGGATGTCCGCGTTTCGTTCGATCACAGCTTTCTGATTCCTTTTCTCCCCTTTTTCGTTGTTTTTGCACCCGCAGGAACACAGCCGAGTTGGGCTAGTGTAAGGGGAGTGGCGTCCCCTCGGGTACCAGCCGGTTTTACTAGGCTAGGCGAGCCGACCCGTACCCCAGGACAACGGGATCCTGGAGGTTGAGCCCCCCACCGTGCGGAGCCAGTCGCGGTGGCTGGGCAACACGCCTCTTTGGCCCTGAGTTCTGTAAGGGCGGGACACTCAGTGGGGCGCCGCACTTGAGGAGCCATTCCCAGTCGTGATGCCGCCGGGGGTGGTGTCGGAGAGGTGTCGCCGGCGGAGTTCGGGCACTTGTGCTCGTCCTCCGTCGGTGGGGCTGATCTGTCGCTGCCCCTGGCGGTGACTCGGCGAGGCGTCAAGGGAGGAGGCGGTATCCGACCGTGGGGGGTGGTGAGCCTCTCTCTCCCCCTCGGAAGGTGCCGCCAAGTCCCGTACAGTCAGCTCGGCCGTCCCAGGCCTTGTAGCGGCGCCGTTGCGGAGCGTCGGCGGCCGAGCTGGCGGAGACCAACTCTTTCACATGGATAACTTGACCGATCCCCCTTCCCCCCAGTCCAATCCCTCGGCCTCGGCCGATCCTCGCCCGTTGGCCTCGGCCGACAGGCGAACGGTGCTCGACAAAGGTCCGCGATCTCCTAAGATCCTTATCTTCCGGAGCGCAGACAGGGAGCTGAGCTCTCTGTCGCCCTTTCAGCGGAAGGATGGCTGTGACCGGTTTGGTTCGATCGTTCGTTGTGACCGGATGCGTGATGGCGCGCTGGAGGTCGAGTTCAGGAAAAGCGAGGAGGCGGCGAAAGCGTTGGACGCTACTCGCTTCGTGTTCTCCGAGGGACGGGCATCCGGCCGGAGGCTCGTCTCCATCCCGCTTACAGTGGAACCTCACCGATCTAAGAACTCCTCACGAGGAGTCATTAACTGTTTCGATCTGAGGGGAGTGAGCGACGAGGACATTGCGGACGGGCTCGCTGATTTCGGCGTGACAGCGGCTCGCCGCATCATGACGAAGAGAGGCACGGTCTCGACCAACAACATTATTCTGACGTTTGACTCCACTGACTTGCCGAGTGAGATTCGCGTGGGCTACGTGAAGGTTCGCGTGCGGCCTTTCGTCCCAGCGCCCATGCGCTGCTTCCACTGCCAACGTTTCGGCCACACAAAGGACAACTGCCGAGGAAGACCCACGTGCTCCAAGTGTGCTTCGCAGGACCACACTGACGAAACCTGTGACTCGGAGACCCCCCGATGCGTCAACTGCGGAGAGGGGCAGACGCCGCACTCCGCGTATGATAGGTCTTGCCCTGCATACGTCAAGGAGAAAGAGATCATGACCATCAAGGCTACCAGAAATTTGTCTTTCAGAGAGGCCCGGGAGGTGTACAACCAGAGTCACCCGAAGACCTCGTATGCCCAGAAGGTGAGAGTCACAAACTCTACCGATGCCTCCCAGATGAGTGTGGCACAGCTCGTGCAGCTTCTCAAACGATTCGGCCTCACCGTCGTAGCCACTGGTGACTCAGCGGACACCACGGCGCCTCATGCGCCGCCGAGCAACACAGAGCAGGCTGCTCAAGAGTCAGTGTGGGGTCCACCCAGTCCCGCTCCAGCCGCGAACGGTGATGGAGACGGCTGGGCCGTCGTCCAGCGCCGACAGGGTGGTCGGCGCCCTCCGGCGCAGGGTAAGGCGCCACCCACCCCGCCCCGCCCCCGACCGCCCACGGCGGTGCAGGAGGCGCTGCGGCGGGGGGAGGAGGAGAGGAGGGCACGAGAGGCGAGGAGGGCTCGCCTCGTCCAGAAGGCCCTCGAGGCTAAGGAAGCCTCATCTGCCGACTCCGCCTCCGGGAGTGCCAATGCGGCCGTTGCCGCTGACACCCCGGAGACACCTCAGGCGGGGACTCGGCCCATCATGGGTCCCCCGCCGCCTCCTCCACCTCCGCAGCGGCGGCCACCACCGCCGCTGCCAGAGACGCCTGTGTCGAGGACACAGGCCGCCGCCTCGACATCCCCGTCGGGGCGGCAACAGCCCTCCGCGGCTCCAGGGCGCCTCGCCAAGCGGCAGACGTCCCCGAGCTGGTCACCTTCGGAGGGCGACGCCCCCCGGTCGAAAAGGCCCCAGCCGGGCCCGAGCCATGCCCGATCTGCCTCTGCCGAAGGGAGGCTTCACCGAGAGGGCTCAGGGCACCCCCGTATCCGCTACGGGGGGAGCGCCTCCTCGGAGTTAGAGGACCTAGTCTAGTCTTTCAGTCTAGTCATTTCCTCTTTTATCCTTTTATCTTTTTCGCGCTATTGCTCTTTTTTACCAGGTGCATTTTTTTCGGTGCTTTTTACCTTTTTTGTGGTCAGTCAGGTATCTGTGTGCGCCTTTGCCTCATGTTATATGCGCCCTTTTTGCGCCTTTTTAACCACGCCTTTTATTCTACAGTGGAACTGTAGAGGCCTCCGGGCCAACTACCAGGACCTACAGTCTCTTATCCGTTGGCGCACACCCCTTGTTTTAGGTCTCCAGGAGACCAAGCTAGCGCCAAACGTTACCTTTGCCATCAAGGGTTACTCTGTTTTTAGAAGAGACTTAGACACCCCGACCATTGCCCATGGAGGTGTACTTTTGGCAGTGCACCACAGTGTGCCCGCACGTCAGGTTCCGCTGCAGACTCCTCTGCAGGCGGTAGCCGCTAGAGTTGATTTCAACCACCGGGAACTAACTGTATGCTCTTTATACCTTCCACCAGGTATAGCGCTCCCGGTGGTTGAGCTGCATCGACTTGTCGATGAGCTTCCACCTCCGGTCCTGGTAGTCGGCGATTTTAATGCCCATAGCCTGGCGTGGGGATGCGACACGACTGGCACTCGTGGTCGACTTTTAGAATCTTTTATCCGCGATGAGGCGCTGTGTATTTTAAATACAGGACAGCGCACCCATTTTACAACACCCTCCGGTCAAACATCGGCTCTGGACCTGAGCTTAGTCAGTCCGCGGCTAGCTCAGCTTTTTACCTGGTCCGTCCATGACGACCCACTCGGGAGCGACCACTTCCCAGTGTGGCTGGAGCACCAGGAGTCCCCAGTGTCAGGCAACCGTCCACCCAGGTGGAATGTTCGGAAGGCCGACTGGGGCGAATTCCAGGCCGCCGTAGAGGCCACGGTTTTATCCAGAGCCGACGCCTCTGTGATGTCTACAGAGGATTTTACATATTTACTCATTGACTCCGCAAACGGGTGCATACCCAAGACGTCGAGTCAGCCTCGTCGTCCTCCGGTCCCGTGGTGGACCAAGGAATGCGGAGATGCGATTCGTGCCAGGAAGCGCGCTTTTAGAAAGTTTGACCGGAGCAGTACTACTGAGAACCTCATCGCTTTTAAGAAAGCGCGGGCTTTTGCCCGTCGCGTTTTAAAAGAGGCAAAGGCTGTTTCATGGCGCACGTACGTGAGTTCCTTAAACCGTTTTACTCCTACGACCCAGATATGGGCACGCATGAAGCGCATTGAAGGCCGGTTCAGCTCTGTTCCGCTTCCGGTTTTAAGAGTGAACAACACGGACATATCCCACCCTTTAGACGTCGCAGAGACGATAGGCCGTGCACTCTATCAGCGCTGCCGAGGAGAGCCGTCCTCACGACCTGCACCAGCCGCCGTGGACTTCAGCACAGCTGAAAATTTGATGTACAATGAGCCTTTCTCTATGGCTGAGCTCACGTCTGCCATCAGCTCGTTGCGCAGCGTCTCAGAAGGTCCGGATGCTGTCCACAACGACATGCTCCGTCATCTCCCAGCAGTTGCCCTCGAGGCGCTGCTAGCAACTTTCAATTCGCTTTGGGAGACTGGCACTTTCCCTGAGACCTGGCGGGAAGCCACTATCATTCCTATCTTGAAGGCTGGCAAGTCGGGACATGACCCTCTCCACTATCGGCCCATCTCTCTCACATCATCGCTTTCAAAGCTGATGGAGAAGATGGTCAATGTGCGTCTTAGCTGGTTTTTGGAACATCACGGTGTTTTTACAAACGCCCAGTGCGGTTTTAGAAAGCACCGCAGCCCTGTTGACCACATTTTAGCCCTCGACACCGAGATACGCACCTGTTTTACTGAAAAGAAGCACCTTGGAGCACTGTTCTTTGATATTGAGGCGGCCTATGATACAGTGTTACGACACAGAATACTTTCCAAAGTACACAAGTACGGCATACGCGGCCGGATGGGCCTCTTTATTAAGAACTTTTTATCGGGTCGTCGGTTCAAAGTCCGAGTTGGCAGTAGTCTTTCGAGCAGTTTTACTCAAGAGAACGGAGTTCCCCAGGGCGGGGTGCTTAGTGTGGCTCTCTTTGCAGTGGCGATTAATGACATCGCTGATGATCTGCCGGTCTCGATCGGTAGATCGCTCTTCGTGGATGATTTTGCCATTTGGTTTGCCGCTTCAAGCGCTCGGCATATGGCCAGACAGCTGCAGCTTGCAGTGACGCGGTTGGAGAGATGGAGTCGTGACAACGGTCTTCGTTTTTCAACAACGAAGACCGTCGCTATGCACTTTTGCCGCCGCCGCTGCGGCGACCTTCCCTTGGGAATCCAGCTCTATGGACAGGTGATTCCTACTCGTCCGTTGGCGAAGTTTCTTGGGATCTTTTTTGACAGTCGTTTAACGTATAAAGAACATTTTAGAACGCTTCGGGAACGATGTTTTAAATCCCTGAACGTTTTAAAATGTGTCGCCCGCACATCTTATGGTGCGGACCGCAGGACCCTTCTTCTTCTATATCGATCTATTGTACGATCGAAGCTAGATTACGCTTCCTTTGTCTACGATTCAGCGAGTGAATCTAGCAAGAGGGTCCTGGATACAGTCCATCATGCAGCACTCCGAGTAGCCACCGGAGCATTCCGCACCTCGCCAAGGAGCAGCATTCTTGCTGAGGCGCATGAACCGCCACTTTCACTCCGCCGTCAGATGTTGGGTATGCGGTACGCGCTGAAACTGCGCCAATTTCCTATGCACCCGACGTACCCATACGTTTTTTCACGGCATGCCACCCGATGTAACGGAAGGTTACGGCCCTCGTTCGGAGTGCGCATGAAAGAACTGTTTTCAAATGCTGACATAGCATTGCGTAACGTTCGTCGTACCTGGGCTGCGCCCCCTCCACCGTGGAAAAGTGTCAGTCCACAGGTGGATCTTTCGCTTTCTGCAGTTCCAAAGGGCAAGTTGCTGCCTGCAGAGGCACGAGTCCGAGCCTTGGAACACCTTGCCTCTTACGATGGTTTTATTCCTGTATTCACAGACGGCTCTAAAACACCTGAGGGAGCGGGCTGTTCTTTCGTCGCTGGCGACGATACCCGTTCATTTTCGTTGCCATCTTTCGCCTCGGTGTTTTCATCGGAACTTGTTGCCATCGAGAAGGCTTTGTGTTTTATTGAGGTATCGGACGGACCTTTTTACTTGATTTTATCGGACTCCCTAAGCAGCCTGTTGGCCCTACGGAGTTTTAATCCAGCCGACCCGATCGTTCAAGACATTTTAGCTCGGCTTCAGTCAGTAGAACAATCGGGTAAATCTGTTCAGTTCTGCTGGATTCCCAGTCACGTTGGCGTTCATGGCAATGAGCTGGCAGACGCGGCTGCAAGGCGTGCTGCTGCAGCACCCTGCACTCGTCGGTTGCCATTGCCGGCGCGTGATTTTTACCCTGCCGTACGATCTTTTATTCTAACGGAGTGGCAGGCAGAGTGGCGCCTGCGTGGAGGCAGGAAGCTCCGAGAGGTGAAGCCGACTCTGGAGCATTGGAGGTCTTGCTCGCAAGACAACAGGTCAAACGAAGTGATTTTATGCAGGCTCCGCATCGGTCATACGTATGCGACGCATGGCCACCTCCTCCGCGGAGATGAGCAGCCCGTTTGCGGCGGGTGCGCCGTGCCTCTCACCGTCGCCCACGTGCTTTTATCTTGTCGACGCTTGGAACCGGACCGGACTCGCTACCTGGGCCGCATCGCTCCGGATATCACCGTCCGCCACTTGCTGGGTGACGAGTCACCCTGGGTCTTATCTGGCAACATCTTTTCCTTTATCCGTTCAATCAAATTCCAAGTAATCTACTCGATCTGATACCAAACCAACTAGTCCATACGTCTATTCTAATCTAGTCCTTACGCCTAGTCAGCTGTCTTTTACGATACGCTTGGAGTATTTTACCCTTCTTTGCTCCTTTTAACCAGCTTTTAGGCTTTTTAAGCCTTTTATTACGTCGGTTTTCTTGTGACACACTTGCTTTACTTGTATATAGTTATGGGCGCAAAATGACCTTGTAGTCGGCGCGCCCTTAAGCCCCAATAAACAAACAACAAACAATCGAGCAAACGGCACATGCCAAAGAGCTGGGGACCTGTTGCGTCTGACAGGTGTCGACAGCTGAAACTGATGTAGCAGCTGAGGACAGTCAATGTGGCCGTGAAACACACCGTAAAGGAACATCAGGTCATGTTGCATGAGACGTGATTTGATCGAGGGAACGTTAAAATGCCGAAGTAGGTGATCATAGCTAAGATTTTGTGAGCAAGTGTTACTAGAACAGGCCAGCCAGATGAGAAATGTGTGCTGAATACGTTCGAGTCTTTTATTTCTTGACCATCCCATTATAAGTCAATTGGGGAAAAATCAGCTCCCTTATTTTTACACTAAAACGCGTCGGAATTGCCTAATATACCATGAGTGACTCCATATGCGACTAAATTTGACTACCTTGAGACCTTTTTTGCTCTTGGTCAACTGTGACGTTGCTCTTGGGTCATGTGACGTCATTAAAGGTCACCAAAATGTTTTTTTGCTAATAACTCCTTACAGGTTTGAGATACAGCCGCGCGGATAGGCTCATTGTGTTCAGCTCGTCAAGGCCCATCGAATGATATATATGATGACCTTAAGGTCACGTGACCTAAGGTCAACTTTTGACCTTTACCTTTCGAGGTCAACATACACATGTTTCGATGCGGATCGACGAGAGGATCACGATGGTGCTATTAGTTTGTTCCTAGCTGGGATACTTCGAAAGGTATTCGAGAAAAACTTCATATATATGTAGTGCCGCCATTTAGACTTTCTTTTTACCCCTGTGACGTCATCTTTGACCTGACCTGAAAATGACCTGAGTAAAAATTGTAGACCTTATCCATGTGTACCCTGTGCCGTTTACCGCTTGTCGCTATCTTGCTTTGTTCTCGAGATCTCGCTGTCGCTCCCGCTCGTAATAATGGGAAGGTCATAAAAATGACCTGACCTGAGGTCAACGCAGGCCGAAAGCCACTTTTTTATTATCGCATATGAATGAAAATTGATAAGGCTTTAATCGTCATCAGACAAAATTGCGACTTTCAGTTGGGAAAATATCAAGGTCACTCTTCGAAAAAAGGTCAAGATGTCACGTGATCAAAATTTTCAAAAATCGAAAATCCGAGATAGCCAAAACGTTTGTTGGTTGATTGCGAGTTGAACCATATCAAGTTTTTACCATAGAAAACCAATAGTTTCTGAGTTATAAGCCGCCAAACATAGGGTTGCAGCGTGACCTCCAGGAACTGCCCGAGGCTATATCTCGGAAACCGTTGTTCGAAGAAAAAAATCCTTGCCACAGCTGGGTTCCCCGCCCATCACAACCCATTAGACCAATTTTAAGCAAAAAATAAAATATGCGGGTGTAAATTTTAAGTTTTTTTGGTCGATCTATCGTGGAATGCCCCTGAAGTAACTCATATCAACAACGGTGCAAAATATGCCGTTTCTTAGTGGAGCTGAAGGTGTTATCAACAAGACATGAGACACCCATACAATACAATATAATTCGTAGATGATGCAAGATAATTAACCAATTCAAATAACTATCATCCTTACAACTAATTTCTAGAAAAATTTTCCGCCCTAAAAATATCAAACACCCGCAACTGACCTGTGTGCGCGTTTGTTGCAGCCCTGTCCACGGCTAGAACCTGCAGCTGATAGAACGGCTGTCGCTCATAGTCCAGCTTCCCATCCAGTTTCAGAACGGCCCGACCTTCTCGAGTTGTTACGGAGAAAAGGTCGCGGGCGGCTGAGGAGTCGGCCTCCAGCCGATATACAACCTGTTGAGGGCGACAGTAGATGGCGCTGGTGTAAGTTATGGACAATGGAACTTCGTAAATCACAAGAAAACGGTTAGAATCGATCATAAAAAATTGAAAATAAAAAACTTCTCTCACGCATCGACACTCGACACTTCGATTAGGATGTCCAATGTCCATTAATCGAATATTCGATTAGGGTTTAGCGACGAAACTATTTGCATTCAAGAAAAATGGCTGATTTGTCCTCAGCTGATCACTGCACCAACAATCACGAACGAGTTTTATATAACTTACCTGACCGAACGGCCCCTCATCTCGATCGGTAGCCTGTAGGACAGCCAACACCCTCGGCTGGGAGTCTTCTCGCACAGTTAGGGTGGGTTCGTGTGGTAGAAATACGGGCATGTTGTCGTTAACATCTTCTACCAGAATCAGTAGAGACTGGGTGACGACAGCCTCGCCGAGTCTACCGTCCGTGAGAGTGAGAACTATGCTGTATTCGTCTTCAAGCTGAAACGGTAAAAAAAAATGAGTGAATGAACGGGAAAAATGAATGAAAGGAATAGGGCACGAAAGCAGTCAAAGGACGAAAGAGAAGGTAGGATGAAACGAAGAGAAGCATAGTGAATAGCAAAAGAGCATAGACGGCCTAAAGAAGCAGATTGACGAGCAATCACAGTCAAGAAAAGTGGTGGCGTAAAATTCAGAACGAACACTGGGTAGGTATTCAATTATCATTGCCCATGTTTTGTGATGGATGAAACTTTGGAGTTTGGATCTCTCCCTTCCCTTCCCTTCCGCCCTCCTCTCCTTCCAACTCCTCTGTCTCTCTCTCCTCTCTCTCACCCTCTCCCTCTCCCTCCTCTCCTCTCCTCTCCTCTCCTCTCCTCTCCTCTCCTCTCCTCTCCTCTCCTCTCTCTCTCCTCTCCTCTCTCTCTCTCTCTCTCTCTCTCTCTCTCTCTCTCTCTCTCCCTCCCCCCTCACCTCCCCTCCCCTCCCCTTCCTTCCTCCCTTATCCCCCCTCCCCCTCACTAACCTCCCGATCCAGCGGTCTCCTTAGCACCAGATCAGCCTCCGTGTCAGTAGCGGGTCGTATCTCCAGTAGACGTGACCCCACCTGACCCCTGATGGCGAACTGTAGACGGTCGCCGTCCGGGTCGTAGCCCCGCAGACGGTATATCACGCTGCCTGTGGCGGAGAGGGGAGGGGAAATGACGTCATTGGGTCAGTGACAAGATGATGAGGTCAATGACTATCGTCTAAAAAGAAGACGCTATTGGATTGCTGATGTTGGATATCGAACGATCTTTCAGAGCCAATTGATCGGATTCGTTATCTCGTGTTCTTCAAAATGACAAAAAGAGAGGGTCTGTAGCAGTTTATAAGCAGATCTACCATGTAGGTATAAGTCATGCTCAGAACAACACTTTTAAAATTAGTTATGACTGTGCTGAAGCTGCAGATATGAAAATAAATGACGTCTGTTTACATCTACAGCACTCATGTTTCCAGCTAGCAGTTACTTACCTACTGGAGTCTGATCGCCTTCCCGAAGCCTCAGCACGATCTCGCTCTGACCGTCCAACAGAAACCTCGGCGGGACGTTTCCAAGTGCAGGCGACACTAGCGCCACCAACACAACTGCAAAGGTCGTCCATAGATGGCGCGACAGTCGTAACCGTGTTTTTGTCGCCGTCTGTGGCGAAAGTAATGATTGTTTTTGAGATTTCGATGTGAGAATATCCAGAGGAGTTGCTGGTAGACAATTGTGATGACTCGGTGATGATGAGTCCTGTAACCTGCCACCATCGTTGGGAAAGAATGTTCCGCTCAGCCGTTCAGTCACGGACTGCTCCTGTTTGTCAGGAGATTCCATCTTCGTCATCATATGTGACGTCACGCATGGCATTGATGACGTCCCATGATGTTCTGAAGGCTCCAACAGAGACTTCGCTCGACGATGGGTTGATTTTGACTTATTCCTTGTTTCAAGTCGAAGCCGTCTTCTTTCTCGTTGAGCCATTGCCATGTCTGAACAGCCCTGCATCACTGATATCGAATGTCCACTCTGCGCTGTGATATATGTCATGTCATTGACATTCAACTCACACAACACGCAAGCTCCTCACTCGATTACGTCTATTGTGACGTCCAAAATCGCCGCAACGCACCGGACTGTAACGTCCGTTACACACCACGGCGTATGTGACGTTTGCGGCACTGCCGAAGCACCCTGGACGTTCCGTCACGGTTGAGACGGTTGTGACGCGCTGCGTGACGCAGGCGTCACGACCCCGTGCCGGTCGCGTCACGGGCCGTGCCGTCTTAGTCACGAGTTCGCGGCTGAGACAACGTCCGGCATCAGACGATACTAGCGCCGCGTGGTGGACGCCGGAAGAACCGCTTCAACTATTTGCCACCCCTGGTTTGTAGTAGCGTTTGAAACAGTCCTTACTAATGAATGTGCTTCGTGATTGATGATTCAGTGATGATGATGAGCTGATTCGTTGAAAATTTTGTGTTTGGTTGAGACGAGGTTTTCGCCAGGTCACTCGACGATTTCACCTGCGAAGAAAAAGACAACAATGTCATAAATACGTAAATACTTTTATTTGATGCACTCCGCTGCAACTTCATCCATAAGATAGCCTTTGTTGCCGCTAGCACGCTGTGATTTCTCGAGTCCCAGCAAAAATATAAACTTCACATCGTCGTCTACACAAAGCACAATTTATTAGTGTACAGTTATCATGCTAAGCTTTACACTTTATTGTACTTTATTATAATTGTTACTTATACTTGATATTATATGGTTTCATTTTATTATGATCATCTAATTATATCATTTATTACTTATTACTTATACTTATACTTTATTATACTTTATACTTTTATACATTATTTTATACTTTATTTATACTTTATCGCAAGAAAAAACGACACCCCGAGTCCCGTTTAGACCTTATTGCAATAAAAACAACCATAGCGTACCATCCATGATCGTACGACATTCACTTCACCAAACAGTCCCAGCTAATGAAAGCCCCCAAACTTTCCCAGTTTAGAGTTTATGAAGAAACATGATTAGTTCAAAAGTTGATTAACTCCGTAGCCGAGTCTCCAAAGTTAGTCCGCACGATATCTGATCACGAATGCTGTTTACGATTAGTAAAAAAGAACACGATTTCAGGGAAGATGTGTCAGGAATCAGAACAACAGCCGATAACAGAATGACGAAACATCCAGTTGCATTTTTGTAAAATTTCAAGACTTATTGGAAACAAACGAGACCAAAACTTTGTTTCAAAAACTTATCCCAGCATTCTCAATTTAATCCCACTACTCAACTCATTCTCCCTTCCCTTCCCTGGGACTCATTCCTTCGCGCAGGCCTGTCGATCACTCTCCTCCCCCGCTTCCAACTCTCCCCTCCCCCTCCCAATCGCCCCTCCCCATGCGCGCGTGACTATACGCCATCAGTCTACCCCGATTTGGAGCCGCCCGGGCCGCCGTTTTTACGCCCCCCCCCCTCCCCTCCCCTGAACAGCTTGCCCTCGGCTCACGTGCTCCAGTCGATAAATTGATGTGTGGAGGTGGGGGGAGGGGGCTGGAGTGGGCATGCACTATGGTGTTCATAACATACACAACACCCAACATCGGCACCTGAAGGGAAGGAAGGACGTGTTAATCCAAAGAAAGAGCGAGAGAATGTCAATCGAATGACAAAAGAAGGTAATGCAGGTAAAACAGAAAAGGGCTAATATGGAGCAGCCTTGTCCATAAAATATATAAATAGTTAGTATGCGGAGCTAAACGCTTCTCATGACTACATGTTGGAGAGTGAATAGTCGTCAAAATATATTCGTCAAAATATATAGGTACGCTATTTGTCTCCATAACGTATTCTCCATGGTTACATCTTTATTATGCAGCAGTTTATAAGTCATAAAATGGTCAGCTTCATCACACTATGTCTAATTTGTCGTTCGTCTAAACAGGACCATCATTTATCTTCATCATGCACAAGCATTTTGCCACGTAAAGGAGCTTTCAACGCGTCGATATTATGGTATCATATTACGAGGGGGTATCGGAAAGTTCTGATCATCACATGGAAGATGTAGACCGATTTTGATGATTTTTGGTTGGTATTATATTTGGTTATTAAGAACAATGTTCCCGCAAAGAGAATCCTGAGAAGTGGTTTTATCTTATGTAGGAGAGACTTAGAAGTAAAAAAGATGAGTATTGGGACCATTGAGGACCGAACTGTCATCCAACTAATGTATTTGAAACGGTATCACACTGAGAAAATACATCAAGAACGTGAAATCAGTTTATGGCGAGGAAAGCCCATCTCATGCACTTACCGAAAATGAAGAAATAATTTTCAACTTGGTTGCATGGCCCTTGCAGGGGAGTCAAGAAGTGAGTGGCTACCAGTGACTGACAAGGTGGTGACTGTGAAGGAAGTGGAGGACCTCATCCTTACAGATCGTCGTGCGACCTTTCAGATGATTGTGCAACAGAAAGGTCTCAATGCTGGCAGTGCCTGGAAATATTATCAGCGAAGAACTACAGACGATAAAGGAGTCAGCCCGCTTAGAAGTTCGTGTGTCTACTTTGTTCAAGAGAAAAATGCGTCTTGGCCCTTCGAAATCAAGACTAGGCCTTTTTTAGGAAATTGAAGACATCTTCGATAATTTGATAACTTGCGACGAATGCTGGATCTATGTGCATGATCCAGAGACAAAAAGATGATCAAGAAGTTTAAGCACGGCACATCTGTCCTTCTTAAAAGGCGAAGATGCAGAAGCCGATATGGAAGGTCAATGCTATCAGTGTTCTGGATCTGGCGTAGGATAGTCATTACCGACTGTCTTGATGATGGTCGGATATTGATAAGCAAGCACCACTGCATACTTTTGAAGAAGTTGCGAGATGGCCTCAAGCAGAATCGCCACAAAAAGCCCAAGAAAGATGTTTTATCCGTACCAACAGTGCTCCCGCCCATTCGTCCTGAGCTGCGATTGAAGAAAGAACATGATGTGGACATAAAATCCTACCGCATCTAAGAAATTCACCTGACCGGGTATTAACTGACTCTTGATTGTTACGGGAGATGAAGAATCCACAGTAAGGCCGGTGATTTAAGGACAGAAATGACGTCATTGATGAGATGGAGCAGTGATTTACGGGACAGTGCGAAGGTCCTACAATGACCGCCTGAGGCAGCTCAAGAAACGATGCAATAAGTTTGCGGTCGTGTGTGGTGACTTGTGAAGGAGTAATGAACATCATGTAAAACAATCAAATTTCTATCATATCTCATTCGTGGTGATGATCAGAACTTTTCGATACCCCCTCGTACACCCAAGGCGAGAAGTGGCCAAGCATTCAGGCGCTGTTAGAAGCAGTAAAACACTGCCCTAAAACACGCACTGTGGCATGATAAGGACCAGCATATTCTTATGGCATTGACCTCCTAGCACGAAGGGCAGTCACCAAACGCGCTGGTGTGGTATGGTTTGGCCTTGCTGAATATCCATATGCAAGGGAGAGACAAAACGTGGGTAAACTGATGGAAGAAGATCAACAGCAATTGTTAGGTAGACCGGGGAAAGATGTTATAACGGTGGTTGTCATTCGGGTTAATGAAAATGATTTCAACGTTCTCTACTCGCTAGCATAATTTTTTATTGAGATTAGTTTTAAAAGTCATTTTACATCCAGGCAATGTCAAATGTATCTAAAATACCTATCAATGTAAGGTCATGTATTACGAGCGAGTTAGACATTCAACATGAACTGAAGAAGACGAAATAAAAATTGCCAGGCAGCATATACTAGTACAGTCGAATGTAAGGCGACAAACAAGCAACTGAATCATTCACACTCGGTCGTGAAACACGTCTTACATTTACCAAACCGAGTGAACACACCATGCCGACAGGAAGTGAACGCAAAAACAAACACGCAAGACCGGAAAACATTACGACATATGACACGCTCGAAAGGATTTAAACACGAGCAAATCACAGCTGAGCGAATCAGGCGAAAGTGCTCTGAGATACGAGCCAAGATACCTATAAGAAACAGGTAGATCCGATGTTTGAAAGTAAAGCCCCAGTCACAAATTTGACGCACCTGTGACATTTCCTGACACCCACGTGACTATTGTATTAACTTTTGTGTTTTGCGATGTTTTGACCTTATTTAAAGTACTGAAAGCTCAAAATGTATGATTAATGTTGTTTAAAGCAGCATATTAATAATTATGTTTGTAAATTATCGATAAGCTGCTTATAGCAAGTCACGTGATTGCTACCAGATTATGTGCTCAGAAAGCATCTTTTCAACTTCGATTTTGAACAATTTTTACCTCCTTTGAGGCCAAATGATGGACGGTTTGAGGCACACGATGAAATGCTGAATCTATTGATGCCAATATTTGTTCGTTTTTTGCATTTTTAGACTAGTATATCCTGGCTCAAACTTTGACCAATTTGTGTGTAAACCCTATGGTGAAGGGAAACCTTCACGCCCAGCAGGCGTCATTACAGTGCTGCCAAATCGTGTTTGGTGGGGGTCGATACGAGCCACGAGGACGGAGGAGGTTATCGCTAACTACTGTCAGCACGCGAATATGAACACGCACATGTGGTCCACGCCAGTCCACGCTGGTCCGAGTGAGAAATTCCGCATGACGCATACCGGCCTGGACAAAGCCTGTACGGTCCTGTTAAAATATAAATATTTCATGATTAAAGATAAATGTTAAAAAAGTTTAAAAAGGTGTAGGTATTAACAGCTTAACTGATAAATTGCCTTCGAAAAACTTTTAATTGTGCGTCTATTTATGTCGTACATTAATAACTGCCAACAACATCTGAGTCAAAACATTTTAGCAATCTAAAAGTGTCCCTTTGCTTGTGGAGCATCATTCTGTCGTTGGAAATACCATACACTCTCACGCTAAACAATGCATCCCAATCACCATTTGGTGAAAGAAAAAAAAAATCCACCCTCCGCAAGTCTCATTTCTTGACCTTATTTCATCTCAGCTATTCAGATTCCTCCAGAAGAAACCTAAGACCACCAGCCTACATTTGATTCACCACACATTTCACGCCCCACCTTGGCATTCAAAGTGAAAACATCGACACCCCACCCAAATTCCCACACCTATTGTTACTATCATTTATGTCCGAAAATATGTCATATGAACCGTTAGAATATCCCACCCGCTAACGTCTGCTCCATTTCTTAGAACAGAACAGAACATTCTGACTCGTCACATAGCGGTGTTTGAAGACGGACATTTGCATTGCTATGATGGTAGTGTAAGGACAAAGGCTGTCGGGGCGTCGCCCGCCGCGGCCTGGCGGTCGCTGGCACCGCCTGGGGGCATTGAAGCGAGCGACGTCTGAGGCGCCACATAAGGGCGTTGTTTGAGTGTGGAACTAGGGCTGGAGGTTCAAGTGGTTGAAATATGCTGACCCGTGT